GCCATCCCTCCGGACATGTTCTTCATCTACTGAAAAACATTGCGTTTAAACAAATTATATGTTTTACAAATTAATTAAGTACAAATGTAGGTGTTTCTAGATTGAAATTTTAAAAAATATTTTGCAAAAACGAATCAAAATACATAATTAAATTAAGGTACATCCGCCGACGATGTAGAGAGTTTGTTCCTTGAAATAAAACTTATTTAATTAATAACCGTAAGAACTTTTTTACTTTTTACTTTGAACGAGAAGTAATATTTGTTGGATCTGCACTGATAACTTTCTACAATCAGTACCGTAAAGTTCGCATGATTTTGGAGGCGAGCCACTGATTATTGTAATTTGGTCTAAAGTATAATGATTTACGTATAACCAAACATTAGGAAACAAAAAAGTGTTAAGGTAAACGATATCTAACGGAGATTTTAGTATCAGAGGATCTAATTTGATAGCCGGAGGATATACTTTTTTTTATAATAAAAATGCACTTGATGTACCTAAGCTTTTTATAATTTACGTAATTCTTTAATAATACGTGGGCATAACTTTACGTGAAGGAATGTACGAATTTTCGGAAATTGCCGGTTCCTTCGAGATGAACAGTTATAATTTCTCGCTTCGAAATGATTTACGTATTTGCAATGAAACTTGTTGCGTTTACTAAAAAGCACATGTAGCAAAGGCCCTATCACTCAACCAAACAGCCACCCATCACGACTGTCGGTGTCAAAACCACACGTCGCGACCACCCTAATGACTTTAACAGCTAATTGTGTGCATACTTGAGGACTAAGAAAAAAACAACTTATCTTAATGGATTCGTATCGACGATGCCTTTCTCTTCCGCTCCGTTGGCAATAGTTCAAGATCTGGCAGTTTTCATTATCTTGTAATTTTTCATTCATTAAGAAACGTGGGAATAGAATTACCGCTTCCTTCTTTTAAAGTGGTGTAGAATTTCTCAGAGGGACACCGATACTTTAGACAAATATTGAATTTGGGATATGGATATTATATACCTTTCTTCAAAATGCAGCTGCCATTAATAGCATTTTTTTCCCTTTAGTAGGCAAAGCGTGTCTCATCAAATATTTACAGAACCGAGCGCGTTATTGATTGAAGTGTAAGCTGACTTGTGGATGGAAAAATAACTACACATCACTTATACGAGTATAAATAAACGAAATGGATCGTGCGTAAGTGAGTAAACAAAAAATAAAGCAAAAAAGACTGAGATTTACAACGTGCCGTTTGCCAATGGCTGTTCATTTTCTCAAATGAGAATCTTAATGAGCATAGATCCTTATTACGGAAGAGCAGAAGGGCCATACACTTTCTTTTTTTTTTAATTGACAGTTGTAACTGTAAATATACACATTTATCTGAGTCTCTGGGAATTTAGAGATTTACAAATCTATCTGGGAATTATGGGGCATACGCCTATGGTTAGCCAACACACCTTACGAGCGCTATGTGAAAAAAATCAAAACGCTTTTGTATACAGTAATTGTGATTAGTCTTCGAGTATGACCATCGACATAGCTATGCCATTGAATAACGAATTTTTCATTCAACGGTTTGACACAGACACCGCGGATAGAGAGTTTTTGGGTATGAAGCTTGTCAAGATGAATTACTGTTTTTCGATACCTAGCTCTAATAATGTGCAAGCGAACTGGTTTCTTAATGTTTTTGTTTTGAAAAGTGTAATTACATGTAGGTAGTAATCTTTAAATCTTGTGTCACAAGTTATTACTTCTATTTTGCATTAGACTTTGATATCTGTTTATTGAAGAATGGCGTGCGGAAATCATTGTTTTTTTTATACGCGGTTATGCTTTTATATTATTTTATTAAGTATTTATTTATATATTCATGCGGGAGATTGTCTAGTGTGTCTTGCCCTGTATGGTTCTATTAGCCGTTTATGCCGTAGTGAAAGCACCTAACACAGTTTTGATGCTTCGCTGTTTCTGGTTCTTTCTTGTCTCGTGCGGACTGCATCACTCGTATCTTAACAATATGAGAACGGGGTCCTCTAATTAACTTTTATTCTGTTTAGTATTTTTTTTTTTGTATGATAATGGACTTTATACCTTGAATACCTTCCATTTTTACCACACTTTCGCGTGAAATTAGTGATAGACGATGCCGGAGCAGAGCCATGCCAAATTTGGTTTGCGTATTTCTCTTTCAAAGAGAGCTATCGCAAAAAGTTTCGATAATTTTAGAGATTCGATGGGATAAATAAAATGGACGTAAATTTTTCAAAATGACGGTTCTCGAGATATTGGCAGCAAGTTCATTATTTTAAATGGACATGTTGATTTTTTACGTCAGTCTATCGAGTAAAAAATTATAAAATCAGTGATACTATACACTTAGTATTTCATTTGGAACTCAACGTCAATTTTACAACACTACGGACGCAAAATGATACTACGATCTGGACCGTGGCGAAGAGGACTAGAGGAGACCACTCTCCAGCATCTGCACACTAGCTCGTTGTGCCGGACCTTGGGGACCGCCTTGGAGACGTCCAACAAGACTAAACTCGTGTCGCGTATTCTACCGCTTTTAGCACTTGATGGGCCATGGAATGGCCCTTCCAGAATCCGCATTGTCCATTCTGAACGATTGGACCTGATGCAGCCCCCTTTATTAGATCACCGCTTCTGCTTCTTTGACAATCGTCGAAACTGGGGGGACGTGGACTGGTTCCGTTTCTGTAACATAATTATGTTGGCATTATAATGATCCTAGGGGTCTCTCAAGCCGACACTGAAAACCTTGACTTACTCTGTACTTACCGTTGGCAACTCTGGGAAAAAAACTACGAGCAGAGCCACCTAGCTTTCAAATCGAAACGGTAGACGTTTCGCGGCACTTTTGAATTTGGATAACAGTTGGCCCAATATGGATGGCACGAATGAACTCCTACGTTGTGTAATCGGTTCTTGCACATGTTGGGACGTGAGACATAATCGTGAAGGGAATTAAATAAAAGACAGAATTTTTGTGCGTAAGAATGACAAGAACAAATAAATATATTACGCACACAATAAGATTATACAAGAGAAACCTTCTACGGGACAAAAACCCCAACATAGGCCACACAAATACATAAAAAAAATCATCTTCTCTACAACAACAAAATGCAAGAGAAAATACACATAAATAAATAAAACACCTCAAATTGTATGATAAATATCAGGTAATCGAATCAAATGCTATTAAACAAATTCGTAAAAACAAAACACACGGGCCATCATAAATGCTAGTCTTCCGCATCTGCGCAGAACGATCGATTGGTTTTATACAGAGCATATCGTATTTTTGTTTCAGATGTAAAGGTGTGTTGCCTAACCATAAGAGTGGATTATTATCACAGCACTACAGACAGCACGTTTCCACCGAGAGCGCATTGCATGCAAAATGAAGGTGAGCAATTTTTTGCATTTTGAAGGAGCTCCTTTAGCATTCTGCTCCCGACACCGACCGCTCGGTCCTGGTGCCTTCCTCGGGTTGATTGTTTTGATGACGTCGGAAACTTCTTCCTCATGCAAGGATCGCAGACCGTTCTCTCAGAACTCGTTTACAAGTGTATGGCGGTCTTGACCTCCTATATTGAGGTCTTGGAAACTCGGTTTGGATCCCATAAACGCTGGAATCGCGTTTATGATCGATTCTTCTCGCGGATTAGGCCTCGGATCCAACCCGGATGGCGGTATTCTGTCTTGTAGGCCGCTTGTGCGCGTTTCAAAATGATCGATTACCGATGAAACGTCCGTAATCGTTTCCTCGACCTAGTCTGATGCATGTGTTCGACTTCGACCCAATAACGCCTAGTTCTAGAAGAACGATATTATGGTCCGAGTCCATCTCTGGCATCGTTGTGGGACGATATTGCAACGGTCCACCTTTCAGGGCGGCGACGTTTAGGACGTCGTCCCTTCCTTCCGGCCAGTATTCGAGTATATCGTGTGATTGTTTGCGTTGGAGTTTCTGAGAGTGACGCCGCCGTTGCGGTTTTAAATCCTGAAAATTTATGCGGGACCCTTCTCATTAGATCCCCGGCGATGGCGGTAGCTACATCCTCGTCCAGGATACCAATCAGATCTTCGGACAATAGCGGCATCGCGGTTCGGTTGGGTCCACAATGGTAACTTCTTTTAAACAATGCTTCTACGCTCTGATTTGGTCAGTATATTATTAGTCACTCTTTGGTATAGGCTCAAAATGATATGGATACTAGCTGTTGGCTTAGAATCCGGTTTCGATCGCCAACTGCCAGAAGGCGATGGCGGGTACTTCCGGAATCGCATCTTCTGTTTTCCGTTGCGTAACTGCCGGGACTAGTGGACAGTTTGGATGCGCATGCGTGTCTGGCGGGCACGAATGAGAAAACGCGCCATCTAGCAGATAGACGTGGAAGCTTTTGGCACCTTTGTAATTTATTGCGGGATGCTTTTCTCTCGCAATTTAATAAGTTGGTTTTTCCTCCCTTCGCTTGACGCCCTCTGCGGTCAAGTAGGGGCCGGTCGTAGCAAGCTTGTAGTCAGGGGGTGGCCAGGTGGGGCAGAACATGGTCTTGTCCCAGATATATCTTTCCAGATTTTAGAGCCATTTAAATGCCTAAGGTGTAAACTTAAAAGAAACCTTGCAAAAGTAACCATAGTTAACAACATGACTATAAATTCAGATTCATTTCAAGAGCAGATTGTGCAGAAATGGCTATTGGAACGCTAATGAAGTATAGGGCATTTATTGTCCGAAATGTAGATATATGAAAAAAGTAGTACAATAACATAAAATGGGGTGCGTATAAACGGGTTTATGTTGCATTGTGGAATTAGCATACATTTCCCTCCAAATATTTTGCATGACATAATATATCTGTACTATGTTAATCTGTGCTTCTATATTTAATTGAAATGTCAATTGTTTTACTATAGATAAGTATATCTACGCATTTTTTTTGCCACACAAAAATTGGCCCTGAAGGTATGGTCGTTTAATTTTGCCACACTATGTAGATAACAGTAATACACAAAAGAAAAAGTCAATTATGTTATTAATTATTACATACACCATTATGTAAATACATCACTTAAGATATAGATATACAGTTCTAAAAATAAAATTAATCAAATCCAAAGCTGAGTATAGAAATTACAATTTGACATACCTTCCAAATAAAAAATGCACAAGGGGGCCTACTTAACCCCCTTCCCTATTCCCTATGTTTTCTTCCACGAGTAATACATTTCTAAAGGTTTATTCACTTTCCAATATCTGTCGTTAACCTGTCCGAGAGTTTGATTACCGTTCAGCTGGACGTACTGGCCTGTCGTAGGCGAAATGTAAATACAAAAATTGAGGAGGTTGTGCGTCTGAGACAGCTGGGAATCCAGATCGATGGTTAAACGCATCGCGAGATATTTATGTAGGTGGTCGACGGTCGCGTTTGCGGTCGTCTTGATGTATCTGATGGAGTTCTCCTTTAAGGCCTTTACGAGGTGGTTGTCGCCGGCCATTTCGGTCGGGTGAGGTTTGAAAACTAACTCGATTTCGTTGAGAGTCGTCGGTTCTGAGGGTCCTTCCCCTTCGGTGTCCGTCTGTTCTGTCCGTTCGCTCGATTCGCTCTCCTCGCTTCGTTCGGATGTCATGTTGCTTTTGGGACGTTTGCCTAGAGATTTACTGATGGAACTGACGTTCGACGATACCGGGCTCGGTGGTTGCGACGGGGTGCTTCGGCCGGACTGAGGTGTAGGGCTCGGTAGCCTAGGGGTGGAAATACTTGGCGCGATGGTCACTGGAGGGACTATGAGTGGTGCAACCGGGGGCGGTGTCGCGGTATTAACGATTGGATTCGCGTTTGGTACAGTAGGTGGTATTATAACAGGTGGCGCGACAGTTGGCTGAAATTCAATCATTAAGAGACAATGCAGAAACAGTCTTCATCAAGTTGGCCATTGACACAGTTCCATTTTACTTTCAATGTACCGCCTTTACTTTTCAATGCATCTCTTTAATCAAAAAGGTACGGTGGGGACAAACTTGACTATCGCCCCGGTTCAATTCTTTTGAGGTTTAACAAGCAATGTACTTTGGAGTACTTTCAATGTATCGCATTTCCCCCAATTGTACCCCTTTAGTTTAAAAGAGAACAATAGGTTTACTCAACGAGATTTGTCATTGTACTCGGCAGTTTATAACGCATGTTTTTTTGCAAAAATTAGACCTCATCCCCTGGTTCAGTTCTATGTGGTTTGGCAACCATTAGGAGTATACCTCAACGTACTGAATCAATGCACCCTAATGTACCGCCCGTACTTTCCATGGTGCTACTTCTGTTTAAAAGGTACTTCTCTTAAGAATAGGAATCTACCTCGGTTATAGCCTAGCATCTTGGAGTATTTCAATGTATTCGAATGTACTACCGTCTACCTGCCCTTCTCATTGTAACCCTTACTTCTAAATAAGATTACATTAACTTGGTCGAATGGATGGATGTATACCCTATCTAGTAAAGTCTACAGTATGAAATCTAGTCTTCGTCAAAAATAATTTTAAAAACCGCTAGGAATGATCAGCTATGTTCCAAAATTTACATACACGCTATAAACTCCACAAACACGTCACATGCAAAATTTCAACCTCCTACGACGATGAATAAGGGTAGTTGTATAGCGGTTTCAAAAAGAGAGATTCAAAAAGATTTCAAAAAAAATAATAAAAGGGTCAAATGATTAACAAATACAACATTTTCAAAAAGGTTGTTCAATTTTTAATTTTTTTTTAAACTCATTTTCGAGCTCCTTTTAATCAATATTGATTTTTTTTGATTTTTTAGTGTTATATTCATAAGGTTCAAGTGATTAAAAAACATTTGAAAAAAAATAAAAGTTTTAAATACAAATTTAAATCATTTTGAATCAATAGTGATTTTTTAATTTTTTAACAAACTCATTGCGTCATAGAAAAATTCGAGGAAAAATTACTCCATTCCAAATTCCAGCCTGATAACTTCATAAACAAAACTAAAATTAAACAATGAATACACGCTTATTTATTGGTTAGAAGTATACATTTTTTCCCAAAACACTGTGCCTAAAAATGTCTTAATTATCTTCTCTGCAGTCATAAGACATGGAACGATCGAACTAACGACAAACTTCTCATAAATTGTTACACCAAGATGGCACCCACGTAATCGTGGGCGCGAAAAAATAATTCCAATTTCGACTTATCAATTTGGTATCGATGGAAAAAAGCGTCATCTGCAGCTTACATAGCAAAATTCATGAAATTCTGACGACTTCCGTCTTTAGTCCCCGCTTAGGGATCGCCCGAAGGATCGCCATTTTATAATATTTATTTTTTATTACAAAATTGAAAGGGCTTCCATTGTTCACTTTTAGTTTAGAATGATTAAATAATCCGCCGTTTTTAACATAAATACACAATTAGCGGACCTAACCCCATTTTTTTAAATGGAACATACTGTATATTTTAATCTAAAAAGTATATTAAATTCTCTTTTAAAATTAAAAACACATCAGGGATGATATTAAAAGAAGTTAAGTGATACAAAAAATTCAAAAAATGAAAAAAAATAAAAAAGGATTAAAATGATTCAAACAAATACAAACAATTTCAAAAAGGTTTTCTAATTTTTTATTTTTTTCTAAATACTTTTTAATCAATATTGATTTTTTTTTAATTTTTTAGTGTTAAAGGTTCACGTGATAAAAAAATTTAAAATACATTTTTTAAAAAATTAAGAAAAGGTTCAAATGATTAAAAAATGCAAGTTTCAAAAATTTTTTTTAATCATTTTGAATAAATAAATTTTTTAGACAAATTCATAGGATCATAGAAAAATTACTCCATTCCAAGCTCCAGTCTAACAACTCAAACACTGCGAAATATTATTACACTGTACTAGGCAAGGTACTAAGTCACCAATTTTCATGACAGGGTCTCTTTCTTGAAAAATTATCTAAAAACGTTCTTGACAATTTTATTCTTATTCTAAATAAAGAACGAAGTTTTGCAGTTGGGATTTTTTGAAGATTGGTTGAGTGAAATTTTGTTGATTCTCTTTGAGCATATCTCTCAAAAAGAAGATTTTTCATCTTCGATCAACTAATATGACTCAATTTGATTAATTTTAAATTTTTCTAATTTTTAATTAATTAATTGCTCACATGATTTATTGAGGTACAATTAATTATTGATTTTAAAAGTTTTTTAATTTAAAAAAAGTCTTTTAATGCTATTAATCAATATTAATTTTTTTAAAATTCTGTAGTATTATATTCATAAGTTTCAAGTGATTCAAAAAATTGGAAAAAAATTCAAATAACACAAAAAAGTTTCAAAAATAATAAAGTTCACACGAATTAACACTATAGACGAGAACCTAAATTACAACTTATATAGTGATTTATAACAGTTAAGTACTTATTATTTATCACTTACTTGCGAGCTTACATGTACGCACACTCGGCTTCCCAATTGTCCTCGCAATTGTCAGAACAGGTGTCAGTTTCGACCTCGGTTTCAACATCGTTAATGCTCTCCTCATTTTGCATTCAAATGTCAAACATTTTCCAGCACCTCTATCTGCACCTCGATTTGTTTTAGAGCCATAGTTCTACATTGGGTAGTCATACATTTCGCGTGATCAAAAGAAATATTTTTGGCCCCTCTCAAACATTCCTTGCCCACTTGCAATTGAATGCTTGGCTACAGCGCTGCACATAACTATGCTTTTGTTGGATAGTCACCTTATATTTTTGTATAAATTTTGTTTTATTGTCAATGTAATGGTGTTAGCATTTAGTAACCATGCTGATTGCTGAGAATTTTCAGAATATAAAATAAAAAATGCAGATCCGTATTTTAAACAAGTTGTAAATCAGCATATGCATGATTAAAGCGCATTTTTGGTAATGCAGGTCAGTATTTTATTAGCGAAGTTTAAAATTATCGATCTCACGAGTATTTTGGCTGCGTTAAATAATTAATTTTATTTAATTTCAATTGACGGTACGTCTTCATTTTGTAAAACAAATCACAAAGTAAATAATAAGTTTTTATACTGGTAGCGCTATCTAACGGTAAAATTATAGCACCTCCGAAACCCATATCGAAATTATTTTCTTCAATTATCGATTTCACAAGTAATCTAACTCAAAATAGAGTAGTGCCTGCACATCTACACTATAGCAGAAAGCTTTTAGTGAAAATTTGAAGTCTCTAGCTATTGTAGTTGTGGAGATCTAACGCGGACAGCCGGCCTGCCAGCAATGACGAATATAATAGCGTATTTTTTTCAAAAATGCGCTAAAAATCGGCTCGGCCAATCAGGTGTAGGTAGATTTCTTTAACCGCATTAACATATGAAAGTGTCCGCCATTTTGTTAGAATATGGCGGATTCTGAGGCTGATTCGCGAACTTAACCCTCGACTTAACCGATATACTGATGAGTTACACCAACCCTTCTAGTCCGCTTCAAGTTTGGTCCAAATCGGTTCATAATTACGAAAGTTAGAGTGTTTCTTGGAAATGATAGATATAAACCTATAAATCTATAAACCTATAAATATACTGGTACAATTGCAAAAGGTAGATTAAAAATAACGTTAATGATGGCTCCAAAAAAGCCCCAAAAAAAAAGGAACGTCGAGTTTCGATAAAAAATTTGCAATGAAAAAGTGTCATTTGTTTTCAAAAATCTCTTCAAATATCTAGTCACAAAAAACTAAAAGGGAAAATGTATCTGTTAGGCTTTCAGAAATTCCAATGGTCATCCTATAATTTGGGACACCCTGTATGTTATTTTTATTTTAGTGTTTGGTCGAGTGTTTGGTGTAATAGCGTTGTTTTCATATTGTGTAAGGCGTAGGTATGTACCGGGTGATCCAATAAAACTGTTCCTCGGCCATATATCGGGAACCGTTCGTCGTATGACTTAGAGGTAATAAAAATTATAGGGTAAATCAGTGTTATGAAGAGTCACTAGAAAATATTTTCAAGCTCTAAAAATGACCACCAGATGTGCCGATTTCAAACCAAGAAGCATTTCATGTGCTGGCGATATATTTTGAGTGTTTTCAAAATGCGACCATCGCTGCCCGCATCTTCTATTTGCGTTATCCGAATCAACCACGAACCATCGCGGCCAGCATATTAAATGCTTCTTGGTTAGAAATCGGCATTTTAGAAAAGATTACAAATTCAAAAAAATGCACTTTCTGAATGTAAACACAGCAGAATAATTTACAAATTACGGCTGATATTATTTTATAATGTATCGTGTTTCATTTGTTTAATTTTCCAAGGCCTACCTAAAAGTGTAGGGTCCTTTCCTTCGCGCCATCTACAAATACCGAAAATACGTCAAAAGTAAATTTAAGATACAATTTAAGCATTTTTATTAATTAATTAATTAATTAATCTAATTTTCCCAATATTTGAGGTTAGGAACGAGATTTTGAATAACGGTTTTCACTGGCCTCTTTGGATTTTATTTGGCTACTTTTTCATAAAGAAAAAGTCATATCATTCCATTTGATTTTTTTTTAATATTTTAGGTTTTTGGATCACAGTGTCAAAACCTCGGTCAAAACTATCCCCCTGGCGGAGAAGGATACAACTAAATTATCTATATTCTTATTGCCCAAAGAACGGCTCTTTTCAACCATACCAAATTTGTTAAAATCGGTCAAACGGTTAAGAAGTTAAAGCAGATTATTGCAAAAACAATTGAACGCCCTACACAATCTTTATTTTTGAAATAACTGAGTTTTTGTTTTTACGAAAATGATAGATAAACTGGTTCTCTTTAAAAATATGAAAAAAGAATGTTTAGTTTATTATGCGAAATTGAAAGAAAATGCAATTTTAAAATTTAAGATGGCAGTTACGCGAGCAGTTACGCCCTCTGTTGGTCATTTTTAGAACTTGAAAATATTTTCCAGCGATTCTACCCTCGGATTTACCCAATAATTTTTTTTACACCTAAGTCATACGACAAACGGTTCCCGAGATATGGCCGAGGAACAGTCTTCTTGGGTCACCCACTCGGTCACCCAGTACATCTTTATTACCCCAAATTCAAATAATTCTAAAATCGTTCGTAATGTTCGTAATTTTAAAAAATCTATTTGGATTAGTTTCTCATATAATAGTTGACTAATTGTCAGTTCCTAGGTGGACAACCTGTATAATATGTCCACTTTAAGAAATGTAAAAAAAGTGAATGGAATGATAGATATTCGCATTTTTACCAATTTGAGTTTAAGAAATGTTTGAGAAAAATGTATCAAATTCTTAATTTGAAGGAATACAATAAAAAGTATAGCTAAGCTTGAACCATAACGGTCAGGTTGGCCCCAATTATTGTGACAAGCAGTACATTTACAAGTTGAATGGAATTCAGTAAAAATCCCACGTGATGAACACACAGCAACAGAAATACTTACAGGGTTTTCAACATTTTCAGGGGCCGGTCTCGGTTCACCGGTGGGCTCCCTTTGCTCATCATTATTTTTCCTAGATCTATTTGGCCTGTTTTGACTTTGAAGCTTAATTCCCTCCGTGATCGAGTTGACAAGGGCGGCTTGCGAGTGACTTTTATTCAGCTTGGCCAGCACGCGTTCTTGATGCGCCTCGTATTCGTCGCGACTAGGATATATCTTAGATATAAGCAAATCAAAGTTCGGATCGGGTCTTAATGACCGTTTCGAGACTAATTTCTTACGACACGTCGGGCACTCCTTGTTGCCCGACCGCAAAGCGGTGATTATACAGTCCGAGCAGAAACGATGCAGGCATTCCTTGGTGGTCATAGTCTTCTTCAGCATATCTAAACATATCGGGCACATTAATTCACTGTGTAAGCTTCTGGGAGAGACCGCAATTTCGGTATTGTCAACAATCGCATCTTGGGGGGTTCGATGCAGTTCATACAAAGACAATTCCCATGTCTTGTTTAAACCTATCTGTTCCGTACTAGTCATTCTGTTATGATGAAAAGTGCCCCACAGTTTTTACACTAAACACAAAACATTCGTAAATAATACATTGTTTACTATTATTGTATTATGAAATTGCGGAATTTATAACGCAAACATCACACGCGCCATACCAATATTTCTACGTAATGTTGGTTGCCTAACTATTGTATTGGTATTAGTAAAGAGCGTTTTACACGGAAGTATTGCACTGCTTACACGAGACATCACAAACTTTTCGATTATTGAAACTGCGGTGTACCCAAGTAGAAAAGCGCAAAAAACACGAACTCGGAGCACTCTGCACTAGCGTAGTAGTACAAACCTCGCAGGGTACGTTCGGCATCTCCAAACAAAGCTGGGAGTAATTAGTACCTATTTAAGTTCCTTAAGTATCTAATGCCCGTTTGCACCGACAAAGTTAAGCTGAGATTAGCTTAAGCGTAGCTTAAAATCCATGGCAACCATTGTCTCAATAATCGTTGCCATGGATTTTGCTAAGCTCCACTTAAATTTGTCGGTGCAAACGGTCATTAGTTACTTAAGTAACTAGTTCTTTTTTTAAATAACTTAAAAGTATCTTGGAACTAGTTACTTTTACGAAGTACCTTGTAACTGTTACTTCAGGAAAGTAACTTGAGTTACAAAACGTAGTTACGTGGCACGTGACTAGTGAGTCAGTTAATACCCCTTTTCAATCTTCAGCGCCAGTAGAACGCATGTTTTCGTTTGCAACATTTATCGATTCGCCAAGAAGAAACAACCTTTCAGACAGCAATTTTGAAAATTTAGTGTTATTAAAGACAAAAACGGCTATAGCGCTCTCTCCAAGATAAATATTTTTTTCTACTGGCATTTTTACTATAGAAATCGAATAGAAATATTCTGTTATTTTGTATTTTTGAGAATAAAAAAATTGTTATGTGTCCTTTTCATTTATACAAAATGTAACTTAGAAGAAACTAAGTTACTTTTTAAAAGTAATTTAATTTATTTAGAAACTTTCTAAAAAGTAACTAGTAACTTGTAACTAGTTCCATTTTACAAGTAACTATCCCAGCTCTGTCTCCAAATGCTTCTTCTTGTTCTTTTATTCGATTGTAGCACGCTCAGAGTACGTTATTTCCACAGAGCTGTATATAGAAAGTTATTTCCAATTTCTTCCTTTGAGGGAGCACGCTCTTTTGAATTTCTCATAACTAAGGACAATAGTACGCGGAACACGCTCTCATCAGTCCTGATTTTTGGTGCAGCATTCACAAAGTGTTTTGTGGCAGCATTGAGAGTAGTGCGAACAGCTGATTTAAACTGTCCTTTTTTTAAGTGTAGACTTTATTTATAATAATGAATAAACAATGGTATAGAACATTAATCCAAAATCAAAAATTTGAACCAGTTTTATAGATGTAGTTTGGGCGATTCAAATAAGTAATCGAAATTGGTCACAAGAGAGACAATAAATAAATAAATAAATCTGCAGTATCCGCGCTTAGCCTTGCCACGCGCAGTCAATCTCTATAAAATGTGTTGTACTGTACCCCCTGCACTCCTCACCGCTGCATTCTTCCCGTTGCGCTCTTCCCGCTTCACTCTTTCCTCTGCACTCTTCCGATGCCCTTTTCTTCTTGAACTCTTCCCGTTGTACTCTTCCACCAGCGCTGTTCCCACTCCATTCTTCCCCCTCTACTCTTTCAGCTGCGCTCTTCCTCTATTTCAATATAATAAAATTCATCTGGTTAGCTCAAAGCTCATCTAAACGCTTGCATTTCCCGTACGAGAGACACGTCCCAGGGGTGGGACCTTACTAACAAGAAACTCTTCGGTTTTAAATTTATGTACCATATGAGTTGTGAATTACTAATTTTCATATATTCCGTGGTTTAAACGTTGAATTTTCCTTTAAGGTCATGTTTAACAAAAGAGTTTTATTGCACCAAAAATATAGCTACCCTGGCTACCCAGTTCTTCCTTTTACATTTTACCTGTTTTTGAAATCATGTTTTGTGATGATGAACAAGATCCCGCTTAAATTTGACAACAAATTTGACACAAAAATTGTGAAAAGTTTGTTTAATAATGATCGCAATTATTATTGATTGTAAATGCTCGGAAATTTAAGTCCAAATAAATTACATTGCAAAAATAAACTTTGAAAATGGTGGTTCACCGAATAAAAATAGAAATAGGCTGGGACAAAAAGAACTTACCAATAAAAAAACCAGCTGTCAAATTAATATCACATTGTGTTCTAAAATTAATTGTTTGTAATGATGTGAATACGTGACAGAAAATTATAACACCACAAAAAGTAGCAGGTAAACTTCAAGAGGCAACATATAAGTTAAAAACAAATTTTGGGAATTATGGGTCAGGTAAGCAGGTACCAAGATTCTAAGAAAGGGTGAAATACATAGGATGTGACTCATCTTTAGTACAATAAAGTCCTTTTGTTAAAAGCAAGATGGAAAATTACATGGCCTTGTAGGCAAATTTAACTAAAAACAAGGTATGGTGAAATTATTGAATCGCCACTCATTTATCGCACATAGATTCTAAACTAAATTGAAGAGCTTTGATCTGCGTAATCCTGCTCCTGCAAGATAGGTAGCCCGCCCTTGGTTTCGGGGTTTCGAGCCGAGAGTTGAATGTCGAATACAGTCACGGAATTAGGTGTCATAACTCAATTTTGACTACAGTTTTTAGTTACCACTGCTTCATTCACGGAAAAAATGTTAGTAACAAACAACAAGTCAGTACATACATCAAACGAATCGGTAATTTCCACATATTAAAATAAAATGACCAAAACTTATATGAATGTTACTTCAGGGACAAGATCAAGTAATCAACATCAATAAACATAAATTAAGCAAGCGTTACACCAAAAACGTAAACAATTGCAAACAAAGGATAACGGTATTAAACATGTTATTCTACATTGCGGTTAAACCAAATAAATTTCAAAAACAAAGATTGAAACACACAGAAAATATAAAATGCGGCATACAAAACACAAATACGATATAAAGAAATGCAAAAATTACTACCTGCATTAAATAACACAAAATAACAACAAACATTTATGGAGCGACGCGTTCACAACCGCCATTCAAGACAAGATGCCCAACGTAACCCCACGGTTACAACCTTTATTCATTGGTTACAACGTATATCTGTGTACACGTTCGTGCTTTCTACAGATGGCGCAAAACGCTTTCCCCCTCCTAAAAATTGCGTGGTTGCCAACTCTCAAAAATGTGTGCATTGTCGTAAGTTGTATATACAGTGTGGAACCTTTTAAGGCGAATTGTTACATTGCACCATTAGTCGATTTGTGATGACACACTCTTAGGCAACACACCTTACAACAAATGTAAATTCAGGAGACCTTTCTGCGTTGGGGGAGAATTTTTTACAGGAAACCAGGGTAGCGTCGTAGCGAGCACTTTTCTTAAGAACTTACAAAAGGAAATTGTTGATGGGTACCAGGCGCATTAGTTGATCGAGTTCAAACCATAAATGCGAATTCTCGAGAACGGAATGTCGGAAAAAGCTACTCACAAAATAGATACAGGGAGATCAATAATCATATGCTGCGCCGCTCTTATAAAATATCACATTAGTAATCATTTGCCGCAACCAGGTATATTCAGTGGAGGAAGAGCGCTACAGAGAAGACTTGTTATACTTAAGCAGGCCTTCCACGTGCATTCATTTCATCGAACTTGGCGTGTACACTCCTACAAACAGATCAAGCTCGAACGTGGAAGTGGTCATCGCGCAAAGTTTGCGCCGTTCTTGGTGCGGAGCGAAGAGTTTTGCCAATCCTGAATTCTTGGCGCGGAGCGATGCTGAGCGCGAGCGTGGATGTGGTTGTCGCTCCTGGAGTTAAGACATTAATGAGATAGATTTACGCATTATAGTATATGAGGAACCGAAAATGCATATCGTTGTTTTCGCGTGAACAATTGTACCTGTATTTGCTCGCCAAGTTTGTACGAACCATGTGCGAACGTGGAAGTGGTGTTTCAACATTCTGTTCCAAGTTCGATGAAATAAATGCACGTGGAAGGCCTGCTTTAGACCGCCCATACAATCCCATTCGCCTATAAACTGGAAATCGCCCGCTCTTTTCACAACGGTTATAAAAGAGTGTTGCCAACATGTTTAGGCAACACATCATACACGTAAAGGCAAAGCGCGACCAGTGTAGCAAGATCCTACATATAACCAGTGAATATAACTAGAATCATTGCATAAAAATTTTATTCAATGGTAAAATGAAATGTGCTTATCGACATAAAAATGTTTATTGGCTTTTAAACAATACTAGTTTGTTGTACAAATGTCTAATTCTCACATCTACTATACGTTTATTTTCTTATTTTCGTAATGAATACGTATTGTAAAGAATACCTTCAGTATTAAGTTCATTAACTGGAGGACATGATTATTTAAAGAGTCTTGATTAAATATCTGATCTTGAAGTGCTACAAACATATTATATCCTTGGAGATTTCTGCGCGACGTACAACAAAGACGCCGAATAAACAAATTCATATCTCTGTTACACTATCGCAAAGATTGTTTCTCAAAATATTCTGGTGCTTTTCTGCTTTTCCATTCCATTTTTACATAACTATACCTAGATGTAACTATCCGATAAAAAATACCTTATACGAAAATTTACACTAGATACTACTTTGCGCATCGGTTGTTTTATTTCATTATTACCGTTTATACACTTTTCTGAGAACATTATGTGTGTAGAAAGTGTGCGCTTTCGATTCAGCAAAGAAATTTTAAAAAATACTGAAAAACTAGCCCAGGGCAGCGATATAATCCCAGCAAAAACAAATAGTGAAGATTGGAGCGCGAAAGTTATTGCCTTTACGAGTTCGGTGGGTACCATGTTGATAACGTACAACTTGAGCTATGCGCGGTCTAGTAGCTTAGTGTAAAGAATACACTATGCTAGTAGTAACAAGTCTCTGGAGCGCTAGGACCTGTGATACAGAGAACTGTCATTAAGGGAGGGAATCCAGTAAATGTATTCATTCCATGATTTCTGTATAGTCTCTACGGTCTTTTGGTAATCCTTAGAGCTTGTAACCTTTTTTTAAAACCTCCTTACGAGTATTTAAGATCTTTTAACAATAGACACTGTCCTCAATTACTCCCAAGATCTCAAATAATTGAGGCGACCGTTGCACTCAATAGACGTGTAATATGTGTTGCCTATTCAACTTTGATACACGCCCTACCGTTATTTATAGGCAAACGGTGCAATTTGTAACTCCACTGGCTTGCAGCGTAACCTTTGCAACTTTATTTTCGATGGTATTTAATAAAAAGTATGTAGTTAAAAATAGATTAAAGTGATAAGCAACACGAATTTAGATTTCACTATGTCCACATCGTTTTATCACTTGCGTTCTCTCGAAACACGGTTACTATAAATACGCAGTTCAAGGCGGCAGCCTCCCCAGTTCATCGTCGACAATAATGGCTACGAGAAGTCTCGCTAGATTTGTTTACGGAAAAGTGCAAGCCAACGTGGTTGCCCGTTCGGGTTCGAGCTTCACCAACCAGGCGAGATTATTTAGTTCACCCGCAGGTGCGTACTTAACCCCCTAAAATTGTAAAGTTAGGGAATTAGTGGCCACCTGGCCTTCAATTCAATGTGTCATGTCATGTGCCCTGCTGATCAAAGTTCGCCCAAATCTATTTTATTGACAATTACCGAATAAAAACACTATCTTCAGTGCAGTTATGGAAAATTTCGGTGGTCAGGGCCGGGCTAGAATTATGCTGTAGTCGTAGCACAGGGATGGGGACATAAATTTAAAAGAGGGCCACATAAAATAATGACAACATTTAAGCGGGCCAAAGAGGATTTATTGTAAGAGTACAAAATTATTGTTTCGATGTCCGGGGTTAGTGTGACAAATCAAATTTCGACTGTTCATTAATTACAGCGTCGAAAATTGGCTCCAAATTAGAAGAAATTCCCAAAACCATCTCAAGATGTTCCTGGGTCATCCTATTTAAAAATTTGTTTTTGCGAATATACTTGGATGACTGGTATTAACCGCGGGCCGGTCCCTCTCCCTATCGTAGCATAAATGCTTTTATCAGAGTCGTCTTCGTCCTCGGGTCCGGTGCTTCGTCGATGCAAATTCTTGTCGCTAAGTAAATTCTACACTACACTCCTCGAAATCCAGTTTTATTATTTTTATCACTTTAATATAAACATTAGGTAGGTAGGTATTCCGAATAAATAGAGCAGCATTCCTCCACTAATCGCATGCGACACCCATATTTACATTTCAAATTTTCAAAGAGGAAAACTTGCTCGTTCACAAGGGGGTACTAAATCCAGTGACATTCAACTGCTAATCTAAATGTAATTATTTAAATAACTTAATTTAGAGGTTAATTTTCTGTGAAGAAATCAAATAACTGCGTTACTAATAATATAATTAAATATAAATCTATCCTAATGACTTAGTTCTTGGAACCCTCTTAAGTATAAGATTTTTTAATTTTGTTTTGTTTAAATGAGAGGTTCAGTAGAGTAGGTGGGAACGTGAAATTAATAGAAACAGAAAGTTGATCTTGATCCAAATAGACTATACAGATTAAAAATTATTAAAACATTATGCACGCCACTGATTATTGTTTACAGTCAACGTATAACCCTGATATGTAAGTAAAGAAATATGTCGCTGGTCGTCAAGCTGGTCGTAGAACTTGGAGGATATGAGCACTTCTGTATTTTCAGGGGATTGAGAATTATTTCCGTATATGGGGGTGTCCAAAGCGTTTCGGTCACAATATCTCTTAGAATGTTTCCTTTATTTCCTGTCAGTTCTATCACTGATTTCCTATAATTTCCCTCCTTCAAATTTCCCCATTTTCCCTTAGAATTTCTTCGGAATATCTTTATATATTTGTCGTGAATTTACTCAAAATGTCATCTGATTTCTCCCATTTTCATTCGATGACTTAAGGCGGAGTATGTCAACTAGAGTTAATTTATTGAAGAAAAAGAAAGAATTTATCACATTCCCATTACCTATGCTTGTCCTTATCATCTCTTTATTAATCGGCAGAGCAAAGCGATGGAAGCTTTATAGGGGAGTCGATGGTGTCCGTCTGTCCGTGAACACGATAACTGTCAAACGCTTGGAACGATTTGGTTCAAACTTTGCACCTATATGCCACAAGTAATAACCCTATTGAAAAGGGGTCAAATTCAATTACCCCTTGGGGTCACGTCACGTCCCTCTGTCTCTGCCAAACACTTGAACCTATTTAGTTCAAACTTTGCACAGTTGACCTATATGCCACATGTAATAAGCCTATTGAAAATGGGTCAAATCCAATGACCCCGTGGGGTCACGCTTCTCTGTCCCTGCCAAACGCTTGAACCTATTCGAGTGAAAATTTGCACAGTAGACTTATATGCCATATGTAACAAGTCTTTTGAAAATGTGTCAAACCAATGACCCCGTAGGGTCACGCCTCTATTCGGTTCAAACTTTGCACAGTATATACCACATGTAACAATCCAATTGAAAATGGGTCAAATCCAATGTCTCCGTGGGGTCACACCGAGGTGCTCTGCCGCTTTTTTAAACCCTTTTATGGGTTTATTTGATCCTGAATAAAATTTATCATAAATGAGGGGTCAAGTCATTGTGTTCAATTGTTACGGATAAGTTTCTGAATGTTCGCAACATTATTTTCAGCTAATGATCTGATTTATACGAGTTCCAGTTATGTTGTCTTAGATTTGATTGATTTTTTGAATGTACGCAAATTGAGGCAACGATTTTTGAATTATTTTGTGTTTTTCCAAGTTTTTGGAAAATGTACTCTTTCACAAAACAAATTTCCTTTTATACCAATCCATTATTTTCTGTATTTGCTTAAACAAATTGTAGACCTTATTCAATATATAAAAACTGTTCTTGTGTTCAGAAAGTGACCAAATTGTTGTTGAATTGAATTGAATTCCTCAATTAATTACAACAGTTACAAAAAGTAAGTGAATCTTACAAACCGTTTTGTACATTATTCCGTGCGAAAAAATTACAATGATACATGATAATTGATAATTAATGTCTAAAAGGGGGGACACGATAATGAAGGTCGTTTTCAACTATATTACGGTACGACTTGTTCAATTGAAGAATAAGTGCTTATTATGGTGGTAATTAAGCAACGTATCCATTCATAAACTTTTCGAACAAAATTCCATGTATCACTTCGGCAAATGATGATTGATTGGTTTCGTTTGCCTCTTTTTTGGTTGAATTCTTACTAATTTAACCATTTGTTTTTTTAGAGCTTTCTCTTCTTACCAGTTTGATGGTGTACTTCGAAAGCGACTTTGAGACTTGATTCGTTGAAACAATATCAAACAAAATATTTTATCTTCAGATAGTTTTTAGAGGAATTTTTCGAAAGAAAAAAAATTTCCTTATTTAATGGTTTTGTCCGTCCGTCTGTTCCCTCGTCTAACTCGCGAACGAAAAGAGACAGCAATATCAACCTTCTCCAATAGGTGTGAGGTCAAGCTGATTTAATTAGGCACGAGCGATACACGGCGCGGTTACTATCATATTTGCGGAATAATCATGAAATTTCGGTGGCAGCCACACAAAAACAAATCCATAGCGGTAGTATAGGAGCCACCTTGGGCCCCCACTCTACTCCTATCAATCTCCGCCATCTTTTGAGAATCCTCGAATTTCTATTGGTTCCGTCCTTCGTTCCCATTGGTTCTGACAAATTCTTAATTTCTATTGGTTGGGTCTTCCATCCGCTCTATAGCGCTGTTGCTGCGCATCTACCTCCCTTCTCGTTTCCAGTCGCCGTTGGGGGGCACTCGCCCATGCTCCATGACACGGTCGTCGAATGTCTCTCAATCCGTTTCCAGTCGCTGTTGGAGACGTGCCGCTTTATTCTAAGATTGGTCGCTGCTGGATCTCTAAAAAACCCGGTAGAGATCAAGGTTCGAACCTATACATACTGTTTCCCATATACTTCGTGTCAATGGGTGCTAAGAGTGTGGATAAACCAACTGCGCTACGCAGAACTAATGCAAAATGTAGAAGATAATTAAGTTTCTTAGGAAACTGAAGAATTTTGTAATTTTCGAGGTTTCTGCGATTATTGATTTTTTGAATTATCTAGATGCGCTAACCGGTCACAAATAATCGGATTTAAAGAACCTGTTGTTCCATTCCGCAGATCTGGTGTACGTAAATGAGAAATTGTCCCGCGAGGATATCTAATTGGAGTCGTGGCTTAGCTTACGATTGGTCGACGATCTTCCGTGTGCTAAAGTCTTTCTTCTGCTTCCTTTTACACCGGAAGTACTTTCTTTCGTTGATTTGGTGCTGTCGATGCAACCCGGCGCAGGCATAAAGGCAGCGACTTTTCGACGAGAAATGTTGGCGTTCTTATATGGCTCTGGTGGTATTAAGATAAGAAGGCACGCGATTTACTGAAATTTTGTCTCTTCAAGCGCGGGACTGAACTCTGATAAGATTTAAAGGAACATTTGGGCCTTCCTATGACGCATTACTTAAAGTACGAATGGTTAGCGTAATGAGTAATCATTAAATTGACAATATTTTCCGAAAATTCTTGGGTTTTTTGGAATTCATGGTCGTTTTCGGGGATTCACAAGATTGTAGAGATTCTTAATATTTTTGGGAGTCTTCAATTAAATTTTATTTTCATTCCAGCAACCCAATATGAGTACATCAAAGTAGATAAGGCCGGTGCCCAAAAGAATATTGGTTTGGTAACATTGAACAGGCCCAAAGCTTTAAATGCCCTGTGCAATGGGTTGATGAAGGAAGTCCTAGAAGCATTGGAAATGTTCGATGCCGATGACAACATTGGCGCGATCATCATCACCGGAAACGAGAAGGCGTTTGCGGCTGGAGCCGATATTAAGGAAATGCAGAATGTGACCTATGCCAAGTGCATCACCAAAAATCTGTTGAGTGGCTGGGATCAAATTGCGAACGTGAAAAAGCCAGTAATCGCCGCTGTTAATGGATATGCGGTAAGTGCTTGTCCTCCCACTGTAGACAATAATAATCGTTCCATCAGTTAGGAGGAGGTTGCGAGGTAGCCATGATGTGCGACATTATCTACGCGGGCGAAAAGGCCAAATTTGGTCAACCGGAAATTTTGATCGGAACGATTCCCGGCGCCGGCGGTACTCAGCGTTTAACCAGAGCAGTTGGAAAGTCAAAGGCGATGGAAATCGTCCTTACAGGTAAAGTCCAATTTACAGTCGCGAAAAAAATCCCAACCCAACCTTCTGTAGGTAATCAAGTGACCGCGCAAGAAGCCGAGAAAATGGGTCTCGTCTCGAAAATATTCCCCCCCGATCAACTGTTACCGGAAACTGTAAAGCTGGCCGAAAAGATCGCCGCCAATTCGCCCATTGCTGTCGCTCTCGCCAAAGAGTCCGTTAATACCGCATTTGAAACTACGCTCGCCGAAGGTTTACATTTCGAAAAGAGAACATTCCACGGAACGTTTGCGACTAAGGATCGATTGGAAGGCATGACCGCATTTATTGAAAAACGTCCTCCTAAATTCACTAGCGAATAATTTTGTACTGTGCAATTGGCATCTTTATTTTTAAATAAAATTTAAAATGTGTCCATTTATTTGCAAGGTAGGTTTTCCCTGTATAAAGGCACAGATTTAAACATCTGATAAAGGTGAAGAACGCTCATTGAAGAAATTGGAAATTGGTATATTGGCCGAAACGTTGCGGAGGGATTACAGCGTGATAGGCCCTAGCAACCAGATGAGAACTCTGCATTCTGTGCAACAACTTATTTTTGCTTGACGTAACGTCACGGGAAAATAAAGAAGGCGCGTAGTACAAAGTAAGGGAATATACTCGTACTACGAATTTGGATCATCTACCTACGCTATGGTGACAAAACAGTGGCGTAGCATGCCCAAATGGCGCCTGCGTACGGAGAATCGCATAAGTACAATTTTCGGTAGGGAATTTTTTGTGCATCGCTCGAACATAAGTACTAAAATCCGCTCGCATTCGGAAACACGACTTTTAGTTCTATTTTCGTTCTTGAGTTAGACGAGGAACAAGCGGACGAACAGACAAAACCATAAACCATCACATAAGAGGGAATCTTCTTATAAAATTCCCCTTATGTGATGTTTTTATCCGATACACTTTTGGGGGTTGTATTAACATGTGAGGTGATGTTTCTGGTAACAGCACGTTGCGCCAGTGCTTGCGGTCACTCTTTGGAGTAACGGGTGAGGGCCATGAAGGTTCGTGTCAGCGACTTACATTGGCAGAACTGTGACGCCAACAGCCCCAGATGTCAAATGCAACTGTAGCACGGCTAGTAGTAACCCTACGCTATGGCTGAACAATATGGGAATCCGGAACAAAGATCACGAAACCTTCCCCATAAATTTCATTTATTATACAAAGATATAAACAATCATTAAGTATTTATATCTTTGTATAATAAATGAAATTTCTGGGGAAGGTTTTGTGATCTTTGTTCCGAATTATCATTTATCCCATTTCGAGCTTCCCTGAGAGAATGGATACTCAACAAGTTGAACAATAGGACCTGGAGGACCTACGGCTACGGGCAAACAGTAGGTGTTGTAGTCCTATAGTGTATGGGTGTACTGTGAACAATAGGGCCTGGGGCACCTATACGCCATGGCTATGGAGAACAGTAGGTGTTGTAATCCTACGCTATCGGTGGGTAGTAGAGCCATGGAGAGAATTGTTACGTTCGTTTTGAGCCAAATGTAACAAAATTACCTTGAGATATAACTACACGGTAAGCTCAAGCAAAGTAAAGTTGGGTCGGGGTGAATATCGGGGTTCTGATATAGTACACTAGCGAAAATAATGAAAAAAGGGAAATGTAATAATAGTAAACCGGATAGGCGCCATGTAATCTTCTAGTCACTTTCAAAAGAGAGGAAAGAATACTTACCAAAAGCTTTGAATATAAAATTAGGCCAAAAGTGAGAAACAAGACTCTGTTCCCAGAGTTAAAGAAATAAAATACTTGAGAGAGATAGAATATACACAATAATCGAGGGTGATTTAATAAAATGATCTCAAAAATATTACAAATAGGACACTGTAGTATATGTATAGATCTGCGATGTCAATGTTTAAATTTAAATTAATTTTTAGTAAAAAGAGGTTCAACACGTAGTCGGAGAAAGTATTAATGTCAAAAAAGGTTTTCGCAGAAAATAACGGAGCTATAGTCGTTCAGTGAATATCAAGTAACTGTAATAATTACATTTCAATTGTATCGAAAACCAGTATGTAATCAAACGCTAAAAAAACGCCGAAAAATCTAAACTACCTTCGGGTCGCAACCTTGTGAGCTTAAAAGGGTTGGTTCTGTAACAGAAAACAACACAACAAACAAATAAAAGGGGTAGTGAATTGCGCGGCACTTAAAATATTGCGTAAGCAATGCTAACGTCTGACACTGAGGCAATCGGATATTAACATTGTAATAAATACTCAAGAAGAATCAATAATTCGAATGACTACACTAGCGAAAGTAAAATTTTGATTCGACTACGGCTATAGTTTCCCATGACTCTGTTCTTGCTGTCCAATACGTTCTATTATTCGATTCATCAAATATGACCCTCGTCACCCGAAAAAGATTTATCGTTCTTCCAATCTTGTAACTTCACTAAACTGCTCTAGAGACTCAGTGAGACTCGTTATGGTTAGAAGATGGTCTTCTAAAGAGAGTTGTAGACAGAGGAGGACATCTTTTAGGAGTGACGAAAACCCTGGTTAAGGTGCGGGAACGATTGTACTGAGTAAATTACAAAAAGATGCGAAGGAATGATGCAGGCCACAACCATCAGACTGGTAGGAAAGAAAAGCACAAATGAGGCATTATAATGACCCCTTCCTAGAGACGGCTTCTCGAAACAAATACGTCATAATGGCCATGGATTACTTCAAGAAAAGGACAGAAGCATATCCCCTCCCCTCTCCCACCAAGCAAGAAGCGTCAACTGTTGCAGACGTCCTGGTAAAAGAAATTTGTAGCAGATATGCAGTACGCGCTGACTCACTGAATAGCGAAAAACGTGAATGTATCTCGGGGGACTGGCGCATCGTGCGGATTGTGGTGGAAGCAGTATTTCAAGGTACATGGCTGCAAATATTGATTTGTTGTTTTAACCCTAAGGAAACTCCAGAATCATGTCGTAAGACCGTTACCTGCTTCTTATTAGAGAAAATGGGAGGTGCACGAAGCGATCATCGTGCAAGTAGCGCCATAAAAATAACGTGAGAGTGACAGAATGAGTGTCACCGATACAACATACAACCGTTACTTATGTTTTGAGAGGGGACAGTGTGGCAAACATTGTTAAACGTTATCGAGGCGTCATCCATCATGTCTGTTAAGATGCTAGCCGTCGTCGTCGTTCGTCTAATAATTGTTGTAGCTGCCCCGCGGGTGGCCCGGGTTCTACTCCGGATCGATGCAGATTTTTTAAATTTTATATATTTATACACTTTTATGTCAACCATCAATCGCCGGAGCAAGCTAATATACCTACCTTTATTACTTTAATATCATTTATGACCCCCCAACCCCTTAGAAAAAGGTGAGAACTCTTACTGTGGGCACGAATTATCTCAGACATACGTCTTTCAATAAAAAATAGTGGCATCTTGCACTTTACTTACATCATTGCGTTCACCTTATGTTCGGCCTATAGTACAAATATCATTATAATTTATAACTGTCATTATCGTGGAAAAATACCGACAAACCTGCTGAGGAAATGTATAACAGGTTTGAGCAGCTTATTCCACATAAAGTACTGTATTTAAAATCAAACGGTAGCGCAATATAACAGATTGCTTTGCCATTGAATCAGCAGGTAAGCGATTGTAATTACGATTAGTGGTTCTCAAATATATCCATCCACTGAAGTTATGTTTCAACTTTAAAATAAAACTTTCCCGTATTATTTTGTAATAACAGAAAACTCCCTCCATGAAAACCTAGTCTGAAATTGGCTTCATTGCAACTTTATTGAACTAGGCCGATGTCGCTGGTCCGAAACTTATGGAATATTACGGGTAGGTACTAAATCTGATACTTTGATAGATACTAGTAATTATAGCTACATGCTTTGTGCAAATTTCAACTCAAATTCCATAAGCGTCGGGCTAGCGACACGTAAGTCGCGGATCTGTGTACGTTACGTCGATTATTTTCAAGGAGGAGTTCAATCTTTTGTCAAACCAATTTAGCTCGACTCATAGGTACCCGATATTCTTCCGAACATTCCGTTTTCTGTCCCACGCGACACGATGGCGTCGTTATGTTGCACTATGTCAAGTTATATGGCACAATCTCTTTTTCGTCTATATCTTCCGCAAATACCTCCACTTTGTAATGCTTAATTTGAAATTTCTAAAGGTAAAGGTGGCTCTTCGCTGACAGGGTTGTATCTCTCTCAAATCAGTATCATATTGCTATGGTGCGCATATTAATTATCTTGTAGAGGCTGTGGATTTGAAAGATCTTTTCTGCGTATATTCCTGGATTTTCAGTATCCACTCTATAATCTATTTGATCCTCATACTATAATCCAATCCCCCCCCCCTTTTTTATTATACCTTTTATTGTTATGTATCATATTTTGGAGTCTCGTCCGATTCTCTATTGCCATTTGGCGAGCCATTTGGTTTAAATTGCATATCCTTTGTGTGTGGTTCTAAAAGTTTCCCTTTTCAGTGTCAATCTCTAATGAAAACATTTTCTTGGAACTCTGAAAATTTTCGTTTTCCTTTCTTCATTCCCATTTTTCGATAATCTTACCTTGTTTTTTGTGTTATCTCTACTAAGGGTTTATTTTTCTGTGGTAAACCTTTGTCAAGTAGATACCTATGTTTTTAGATTGTTTCCTATGCCTTTCACTTTATCCGTCCCCTTTTTTCTCACTCTCTTTCTTAGTTTTCCCTAGAACGCTGCCTTTTATTTTTATTTGGTGTATTCCAGTTGGTAATTTTAGTGAAGGTAGTCTTTTGATTGAGGGATGCTACCCCTATTTTGCTTTTATGTTATATGTAAGTATATAGATTTGTTCGCTATACTACCCACATAGCGGTGATTAAAACTCAAATATCAATTTTTTTAAAAACTGGTTTTATTTCGTTGCTGGACCACTCGTAGGCAGAATAGGCACGTTAGAAAGATATGCAATTTACCGCACGAATACTTGTTTTTCAAGCGTCACTGACACCGAACAATAAAGGGCCAGGTGTTTCCCACAATCATTAACGTTTGGCTTATACCTCAAGAAACGTTCCCACGTGCCAAAAATATAATCAAAGGAGACCCGCGCGCGCGCCAGTTGATTCACAACATTCCACGACGATGCGCACCGCGACGGCGTTATTTCCCGAAAAATTCAATAATTACAAAATTCATCGAAATTCCTGAACGAGTGCATCTCATTATTTTCGTTTGAATTTACCTTCCTTACCGTCCGATTGGGGGAAGTGTCACGTGCCAATACACAAGTCAACAAAGGTAAGTTCCTGTTTAATATGGCGGCGCTCTGAAACATTTCTTATTCGCTTCATTAAATCGTATGGATTTATAGAGGATTCGTGAGTAATCGACTTATTTTTAGCATTAAGGGGTTGTGTACTTGCCATTTATAAATAAACACGCTTTTTGAGAAAGTCAATACTAACACCTCAATACACGTTCTGGTGGGAAAACGCTGTACACGTCTTTGTTTTATCAATGCTCAATTATCGATTCGCAAAACCGTGACTAATGCAACCCCCATTCGAAATGGGGCAGGTGCGAACGCTTAATCGTAGCCTGCCATAATTTTTGACTAATCGAAACTTCATTTTCTAGATTTTCATGGCGTATTCATGTCTTCAGCAATGTAACCCGAAGACTTTCTCCAAGAAAGAAATTGACCACCTGAGCGATCGCATGAAGAACGTTTTGGAAAGTGCAGAAGCTCGAAATATTTTCAACAAGTACCTACATGAAGTGCGAAGGGGGGATTTGCTGAAGGTGCTGGTGCTTTGGTGCAAAGCTGACTTGCATCTGAGGGAATCACAGGTGATGAGTGACAGTTTTGAGGATCTCATCGACGAAATTGACGACTTCAATACAATGCCGTTCCTAAGTATTAACGAAAATAACTTTAAATTGTTGTATGTAAAGCAGGAGTGCTGTAGAATACTTTCAAAAATTTTAAACAATTTTGTTAAGTATTTAGAAAAGTATCACATGCATTGATTACATATTTCTCAAATAAAATTTGTTAGTTTTTTAATTGTTTGTACTGATGCAAGTGGTGGAAGACTATGCTATGTGTGATATCTGAGTGATTACGGTTTGTGGTTTTCGTGCTGATATGAATTACCTACGTTTACATGCTATATTTAACGTGTTCTACATTCCATTATTTTCATTTGAGAGCCTAGTATGCCCTGCAACGGCCGAATTGCGTTGGTATCGACGCCACTGGTTAATTATTTATGCGCACCTGCTGTAGGTGCGTTGTGCATGCAGATTTTAATACTTTTATATTCAGATTTGTAAGTTGAAAAAAAGGAAGTAATGAAGAACGGCACCAGGGATCAGTCTCATGTCACCTTTAAAAGTCCAAAAGGGACCATTCAAATCGAGTTTTTAAAGGTAGTTGAACTATATGGATCCCTGCAGATGTTAGTGGCGCCACTGACTGTGACGTAGGTTGTTCTTACAATGGGATGGCGCCTTCGGAGGGGTGAAAATTATTCTTTAGATAAATGGCAACTCTTACACGATTTTTAATCATCTTTCAGGGATATCTCATTATTTTTAGATCTGCTTGATTTGGAAAAAAGACGCTGATTTTTAATAGCTACATGCTTTGTTTGATTGTTGTACTGTACCTACCATACAGCGTCGTGTTCTATGATCCCATATGGCCAAATGTGGATATTATGCACACACGCTCACTGTGCAAAAAAGTCTACACGCATCACAATCGGTGGTCTCTGAAAGACTGAAACATGGCCTGAAACAACACCCAACAAAACCTCAACCAAAACTCCCACACACTACTCTTAAATTTGTGTCGTAGCTGTCGTCATATTATTTTGTCTACCACCAGTGGTCATTATTAAATGAATTTATGAATATACTGTAAATCAGAGTATCTTTTACATACCTACTTACCTACTATAAAACAGGATTCAAAAATCCTTCGACCAAATCAGGTTCAGAATGTGGTGCTCATTCTCACAAAAATCATATTTCATATAAGCATATCTTGTTTTTCAAAAAGTCTTCATGAAAGATACGTGCATACCCTAACTAACGCATAGGTAGGTAAATACATTTTGACACTTCAATACCTACCTACCTCTATATAATATTTATCATTACCCACCCTGCACAAGTGAGATACTGGGGAAGTTTCAACGGGGGTTCTCTTCGAGACCACCTCAAATGGTCTAGAAAAAAATACAGGCGAAGAGAATTACAGCATCATTTCCAGAAAATAGTTGTTATATAGCCCTTGATTATACAGTGCGGACGTAAAGTTATAGTTTGTACAAACCAATTTATTTCGATGAGACCTTTCATTAGAATACCATGAAGGGTAGAACATGCCCCCCCCCCCCCATTTTCTAAAGTTGAACTTGGCACCACTAAAGGCATGCGTATGTAAAATCTGAGACCAATTGGTTGTCGTATGTAAAAATTATGCACGTTTTACTTTCAAAAGCAGCATCTCAGGAAATAATTGGTAGGGGGGGGGGCCTTTTAGACAGCGAAATTTGATGGCCGTCTTGCACACCTTCAAGGTATAGGCCACCTACTGCAAAAAGTGGGTCCGGACGGACGGACTGACAAACAATAGCACATTTTTTTTAATTCTTAAAAATGCGCTAAAAATGTTAGCAGCGATGTACTTGTTTGGAATTTTTAGCGCATTTTTGCAAAATTTTTTTTTGTAAAAAGTAGCTTTTAATCTCACTTTGGCTGGCTGGCTGGCTGGCTGGCTGGCTGGCAGTAAATGCGCGCCCGTAGAAAAACGCTTGTAAAAAGACAAGGAGTGTACATGTAACTATCGGGGCCGTGTAATTAAGAACGTTAGGGATGGGGCTACAAGATTTGGAGTCGACGACATCTGGACGCCATCCCCGAGCGTATTATACTAACCTGGAGATTTTTCAGTTTTTATCTATCTTCTTCTACAGTTTTTCTCCGATTGTTTTCAAATTGGTGTCGTCGGGAAGATCTTGTCAACGCGCACAACTCCTGCGTGGCGGAATTTTGTTTTTTTTTCCTAGGGGCGAAATAAACCACCTTTTGCGCGGCGCGCTTCGAGGGGTAGTCGACTTTGGGCGCCCAAAAGTTTCTTACAGCGCGAATCGCGGTCTCTCTTTCTCGTGTCACTAATAGAAGGTCGAGCTATGTGAAGTACCCAAAAGTTGAATACGATTTTATGCCGGGATTTTAGCGAAATCTACCAAAATGTGAATTACGAATGAACGGGACGTCGGAACTGTGTATCGACAAAGGGAATGTGGTAACCCCCGACGAGATCTTACTGATGGTGGAGTCAAAACTTCAAACGCGAATTGCGAGTGCACGGTAAGTGAGAAAATGGTACCGACAAAGTGAACGTGGTAGCTTTCGGCAAGATCTTATTGATGGTGGAGTCAATATTGGCTAATAAAACACTGATCTGCCACACAAAAATGCGCTGAAGTCCCTTCGATCTCACACGAGGACTTTGATAATTTTTTACTCAAAATAAGAATTGATAACACTTTATCGCTACTTGATAAATTCTTTCAAACGACAATTTAGCGTAGATAGTAAGTAACCGCTGGCGAAATTGCTGCGAAAATGTTACAATTATCCGAAATAATAAAATTCTCACACCGAAAAAATACGTGTGAACTCTTTGACAGGTTAACCTCGTCTGCATACACGATCTAACCAATGCTTATTTCAAAATGCACGCCATGTTATCGCTTTTATTTCCAGACATACTTTCGTTCATGTTCGCTATAAAGCGGTACATGTGTAAATTTCGCCGTTTACCAAAACTAAATTTTTTAAAACTGATAAAGCGACTACCTGTTACAATGACATGGAAATCAAGTCAGTGTGCCGTAGGTTTAAGTGATGAAGGTAATTCGTGGGGGGGGGGGGCCTTTTAGACAGCGAAATTTGATGGCCGTCTCAATACAATATATGTACCTTTTTACGGGTCATATAAAATAAGTATAAATTGTGCACAACTCTTGTGCAGATAAAGCGAATTTTTTAAACCGGAATAGCTTTTGTTTTGACATCACCAATGGATATATTTCTTGCAGACGTCTCAATCGCCCTTGTGAGTTGCCTCTTCCGACATTCCGACAATCCGTTCTCAAGGTATAAGGGAATATACCCGATCACGACGTAATTAGAATACCCCCCCCCCCCCCCGCCTAGTTTGTACAAACCAACTTTAAACGAGAAAGTGTTTTTTGTTTTGTTGTATCGGTTGAAATATCACGAGAAATATCATGAGAAAAAAATAAAAACAACATCGGCAAATTTCGGTTATTCTGGCATATCTTCGGAAGGAATCGGTATTTTCTGGTTTTCTTTACAGCGTAACAATACTCTCCACATGATAGACATCCTTATCTTGGACACAGTGTATATTATGCATCAAGTTTTATAAACGACACTTTAGGACACGAGTTTTCGGCACGAGCGAAGTTGATACAACGACGCGTTACATACTATACTTCTTCTACGAGCAAAATATTGATTAGACAAGTCGTTTTTACTTATACTTCCAGCGTGTTTAATTGCCGAAAATACCCGAATCGGCACAAATAAGTAGTGGTATTCAATATGACGATGACCCCTTCGCACATTAGGTATCAAGAGAGTATCTTTCTAATTGTTTTTTTTGTGCATTTTTAATAATATTAGAAAGGAAGAGCAATGGGACAAGGAAACTGATGGAAAGGATAGCACAATTAGAAGAAGAAAGTGAAAGAAAGAAAAGAGAGAAGATACGGAAAAAGAATCTTACAGGTAAAAACGTAAAAATAAAACGTAAAAAGGCGAGAACAATTGAAGTACGAGGAAATAAGGTAATAGGCATGGAAAAGAAGAGGAAAATTATGAGGGGTGCGGGGAAGTTAAAAGAAAGCGGTATACACATAGACGATGAGTTGACTTATGAATAACGAAGAATACAAAGAAAAATTAGTGAGGTGGCGACAGAAAGAGGGGAAAGACTAGAAATTATTAATTAATGTAATTAATATAAGATATTAGTGGTGGGAGATGAAGAAACACAGAAAAATGACAACAAAGGAGAGAGAACGGGTGGGGAAAAGCCGGGGTTTGGAGGGAGAAAGTAAAAGTAAAAAAGCAGGCGCGTGGGGGAGGGGGGCCAAAGAAAATATCAACAGTAGAAAGCAGGAAAACAAAATGGAGATGAGCAACATGAAGGTGATGTTGCGGAATGTGGTCAGGATAGCAAACAAAAACGTGCAATTCTGAAAGTTTGTAAGAGGAATGATGTTTTGAGGATGGTAGAATCATGGATAGAAGAAAAGAACTGGGAGAAAATAAAAAAGTATAGGATACCAAGTGAATATTGAAGAACCAATATACGAAGAGGAATAAATAAAGGGAAGAGCAAAATCAGACTTACTAACAGGGGTAAAAAAGAGATAAAAAGATTGGGGAGGTATAAACGAGAAAGAAGGCATGCAGGAATAACGAGTAGAAATGGAAGCCAATTTTTCCACCACATTCTATACTACAAATGTGCAAAAAAGTTAGAAAATCTCAAGAAACATCTTCTTTCCGATCAGCAGGATATCCCAATACTGGAGGAGCATTATCAGTTTCCGACGTGTCTTCTGACGCAGTGGCTTCGCCTGTCTCTGCGCCCTCACTCGTTGTACTATCAAGCTGTTGGTCGCTCGTTTCCTCAACCGATGTACTATTTACGCTCTGCAGAAAGCCTTCCAGTGCGTTGTTTGCAATATTCAAGAATCCGCCCGTAATATTCGAAAAGGCGTTGGTAATTGACGAAACCTCACTTGGATTTCCGATTTTGGGAATCACCCTCTTTTCGAAACTCTCCAAACCCATCACCTTAGTCGATAGACCACCCAACGTATGTAGGACGACTGTAGCGTTTGGTATATCTGTCTCGAACGGCTTCGGAGCATCGGTAGTTCTGTTTAGGTGAGGTTTGGGCTGTACGAGCGGTTCCGTTACGTTCAGCAAGAGATCCGTCCATACGTCGATGAAGTGTGTAACATTTCGTACTACATACAGTAGTGTTCGGAATTTCACGACTAATTTGTTTGAGGTGTTTCTGATCCTTTGTACTACTTGACACATTAGGTTAATGAAAAGTCTCACGTCCGCTAACAGCCGCCTCGTCAGCAGGAGATACAGCTGTAATCTCGTAAAATTGTCCGGAGGATCCACCTCAAACTTTAACTCTATCAACTGTATTATGGCAGTCAAATATTCCCGATTCTCTATCGCTTTAACGACCTGCATTTGCTTTTGCAAACTGGCATACAACGTGTTGATATCTACAAAACATCAAGAATTTTTCTAAATTTCGTATTGATACATACTGGTATTTGCGGCCGTTGAGCCTGTTAGAAGAACCACTAAAACTACTAACAAAAACATAACTGGCAATGAAATGCGTGGTACGTTTCGTATTTCTGCAAAATGAGTAACGAATGTTGTGTTCTAATTTGCTATTGATAATAATAATTAGACACTTTAGTTCACTTTAATTAAGCAACATCGAATATTCAAAATTCTTTATTAAGTCACAAATATACATTGAGTTATTACACTGACGACTGAGTACTTTTGAGCGTGTTGCGTAGGGAAGAGACTCTTTCTAAAACCTTTCTTGAGTCGATCAAAATCTGCTTTAGAAATAAAGCTAACAGTTGTGTTGGACTCAAATTTTTTGTAGGATCGTACTTATACCTCATATCGATGTATGTTATTAATGCTGTCAAGAATTGTCTCTTACGAAACGCTTGCATCATTTTCCGCTGACCTTTGTATATATTCACTATATCCGTCATATCTACAAATTATTGAAAATTTATTCAAAAAATAAAATATAATATAATCAAATAATTAACAAGACCCGTATTATACCTATTACAATAAATACATACTGATTGCAGCATTCGCTATTACGATTAGAGCAAAAAAGACAATTATTGCTCTCATTTTTAAGTGGGTCTCTCTTTATGGCTACATGCGGTATGTGCGCCAATTAACTAGGTAAGTTATAATGAGCCCCCATACTTCTATATTAGCGTTATCTGTAAGCGTTTACGCGTCTTATGTAGGTAAGTATGAGTCAGTCAAACAATTCTAACGTACCTACCGCTGGGCTAGCATAATCCCGCCTTTTGTCAATTATCAAGATCTGGCAACCCTGTGTAACGGTAGCTCCTAATTTGGATTTCATTTTCTCGAATTTCTTTGAAAGCAGTCATGTCGGCAATTATGTAGGGGTGCGCATTATTGTAGGTTTGTTAACAGAGAGTGAGCGGGGTAGTCGAAGTATAGGCCTGCTAATTTCAATTTTTTTTTTAAACTGAAAATTTTGTTCTGCGTATTTAAATTCTATAGAGTAAAGTTTTCATAATAGCTTTAGGAAGTCTGGGGACCCAATGTTGGGGTAACAAGTAGTTATTTTAATTGGTTTTATCTGTTCCAAACCGTAGCGTAAGGATTCGGTCATATCTATATTGTGGGAAAAATTTAATTCGTAGGGCAGGAACGAATCAATGAGTAAAAATGGCCATTTGTGGTTAATAAGAAGTTATTTTGTAGGCGTTAATTGGTTAAAAAGAATAGGTAGGAGTTAGTCTGGAGTAGTTGTGGAGGCATTCGTTAGTGAGCCACGGAATATATCCATAACGTTAGTCATTTTTTGTATAAACTTGCGAGCAAGCAACTTAGAAAAATAGAAAAGGTGAAATAACAAATGTAAAGAGAACTGATGTTACGTAAGGGCTATCCGTGGATCGGTAAAAAAATTTTTGCTAAAAAAATTGTTGATTTCGAAAGGTCAACATTTTATTCCAAAGTAGCACGGGACGGAGGGTCAACCCCCTTTATATGTAAACGTCGGACTTAAAAGAAAGGTTGCAACTGGACATTTTCTGAATTTCTTTAAGCCATCTACGGATATGAATTCTATATGTCGCATAATGTATTGCTTTTTTTCTTGTATTTCGATGATGATGGCAGCTTTGCTTTTGAAACGCGTTCGATATATAAATATATCATCGTAGTTGTTGGATTTATGCTTTACTTCAACGGCCACAGTAGTTCCAGTGCTTCCAAATACCTACGTACATACGTTTCCTTTTAAATGGACAACAACAAAGCATTAGAGAATATGGTGTCATAATTCACCCTTATGGTTAGGCAACACACCTTTACATCGGAAACAAAAATATGATATGCTCTGTATATAACCAATCAACCGTTTTGCGCAGATGCCGAATACTAGGGGATTTTCGTAATGAAACTAGGAAAATAAAGAAGATGGAGACGAGGTCGACGGAAGGCGCCGCGTTCCCGGTTTTTTTATTCTTGATTATTTTGGTGGTGGTGTTTTGAAGGTGTAATTACAGGTAGTAACAATTTAGCTATTTAATAATTGAATTTCTTGTCACAATTTGATATTATTTACATTTTGCTGATTTTGCATAAATTACGATATCTGAATCATGGCGTAGGTACTCCATGCCTTTGTTTTGAGTACCGTTAAATGAGTCGTGTTTGTTATACTGTACAGATGATTATGCCATTATTTTGTTTAATTAAGTATTTATTTCTGTATTCACGAGGAGTTGATTATCAGTATGATGTTGCTCTGTTCGATTGATCCGTAACTATTTCGTGAGAGAAGTACCTAATACAGTTTGATTGTTCGCTGTATCTGTTAATTTCTGATTCGTGGCGCGTTGCAATTCTTGGCGTTAGCTATACGAAGGGGGGGGGGGTCTCTTATTTGGTGTTTCGATGTTTGTGTGTGCGAGTGGTTCATTCTGTCTCCGTGGACTAGGTACCTAAATAATACAGTTCGATCATTCGTTGTATCTGTTGTCTACTCGTCTCGTGCGGATTGCAGTTCTTAGCATCTTAGCAACGCGAGTAGGGGCCTCCCATTAACATTTCCACTATCTAAAATATGTTCTGCTTGAGCAATAATCGATTTTCACATGAATACTTGCTATTGGCCATTGGCATTCTCACATTTACTTTTCGTGTTAAATTAAATTAATGAAGGCTGGAGTAGAACCACGTTGTTTACATGTTTCCTATGTACATGCAAGTTATTTATTTTACAGTTGTGTTATCTCAATTGATCGTACAGGTATTTTGATGTGTTTTTGTACTGAATTGATTTATCATGTTTTCCACTGCATTTATGATGTTTTGTGTACTTATTTTGTTTTTATGAACTTGTTTAATTGCATTTGATTTGATTATCTGATTTTTATCATACAATTTGAGATGTTTTATTTATTTATTTATATTTTCTCTTGCATTTTATTGCTGTAGGTGATTTATTTCATGTATTTGTGTGGCGTATGCCGGTGTTTTAGTTCCGTAGAAGGTTTTCCTGGCATGGTCTTGTTGTGTGCGTAATATATTTATTTGTTCTTGTCATTTTTTACGCACAAAAGTTCTGTCTTTTATTTAATTCCCTTCCCAATTATGTCTCACGTCCCAACACATACAAGAACCGATTACACAACGTAGGATTTCATGCGTTCTACCCATATCTAGCACACTGCCATCCAAATTCAAAAGTGCCGCGAAACGTCCATCGTTTCGATTTGAAAGGTGGCTCTGCTTGTAGTTTTTTCCCAGGGTTGCCAACGGTAAGTATAGGGTAAGTCAACGTTTTCAGTGTCGGCTTGATAGACCTCTAGAAACATTACACGCTACAGTAGTAAATTTCTTAATATTTGTATGGACTTCTCGGATGTATTGCCATTGTGACTTATATGTACACAATGGTACTGCCAACCCTTCTTGCTATGAATTCATCTGTAGGTTGGCATTTTGAACCAGCTACCTACCCGAGAAGCCGAAACAATAACTATAGTTTTCTACCTACATGTGATAAAGTGGTGATTCGCTGGTTTCCATTATTTGTTATTGTTGAACAATGACACTAACTAAATATCACATTTATTTATTCAAACATTCCCGAAACAACCCAATAAAATATTTCCATTACCACTTTTTATACTCGCATAATACAAAATACGTAGAATAACGAAGCTACGCCCATGGTCTAGTCAATCCAGGTACTATATTGGCCCTTTCCACTTCTAAGCACTTTTCCATATCTTCGATATTCTCATCATGCGACGTATAATGTTTCAAAAATCGTAACATAAGTCCATTGTTAATATCGATCGCTATCTTTGGGTGCAACTTCTTCATGAACCAGTTTAACCAATAACCCATGACATGTACTGAATCGGTGTGAGTTTCGTGGGTGGTGCCACTGCAAGAGCTTTCATACAGTACAATCATGATATGTATTAAAAGTAGACCCATGGTAACTAGTGCTCTTGCGAACAAAAACACATGGATGGCGACACGCCAATCTTTCAGAAAAAGGAAAATTAGTATTTCGGGAACCATTTGGGATATTTAGATGATATTTTGTACCCTTATAAGACATTGGAATACAGAGAGGGTATACAGGGTCCACGTGATCTATGAGATACAGTACTAGGTACCATAGTGGCCTACTCGTACTACATAATACTTGCACATACACAATTGTAAACATATGCCGGTCGGCGTTTATCAAATATTTCTCCATCGCCTTCACGTTCGCAGATATGTGGAACGTTTGCGTATTAACAAAGAGCAACGGTTGCGTCGTACCTTCCACTATCGACTTTTCGCCTTTGATCGAAAACATCCACGGATCCAGAAGTATTCCTCGCCTTAAAATCGTTTCGCTAACCAGATTTTGATTAGAAACGTCTACCTACTTCAGTTCTTTACGTTTTGACAGAACGAGGAGGGCGGTCGCCCCTCCAAAGGAATGTCCGGCAATCGTCAGCGAGTCCAAATCCAGACGTCCCACCAAATCGCTCAGCTTAAAGTCGAGATTTTTGTTTAAGTCGTCCAATATGTTGAAGGGAACTTCGCCGCCATTAAGCCTAATTAGAAAATCCAGTAACCTGCTGCATTCGTCGGCGCGATGGTTGACCTACGTGTACCGTGACTGGTGTGCAATTTGCAGACTTTAGCTTACCTACTTGCTTGTTCCTCTCCATATAATGTCCCACGTGAACCTGTCGAACTCGTATGGGCGTTTTGACATCGTTTTCTACATCCTCCTTGCTATTGTAGTAGTATGTGAAGCATGATGAGTTGTCTCTAAAAGAATAATAATAAGGTGACCACTAAATCAATAATACAAGATACATGCCCAAAGGTCCAAAATTTAATTATCCATTTAAAGTAAAATGGTGCATATTGAGCAATTAATGGTTTTTCATGAAAATGTAGGTACACGGACAGCTCATGTCTTCAAGGGGTTGAAGGGGCCTTCTTACCTGTGTTCAATAGCAGCCACTAAATATCCCCGCGACGCCAACTCATTGCATATCACACTATAAAAGTATCTGTTGCTCGCATAACCATGAGATAATATAATGCACTTCAATTTATTCTCGGTATTTATTTTTTCGCCAAATAATGCGGGGCTATACACCTTGCTAGCTGAAGTTAAGAGTCCACAAATAATTGTACAATGGAACTAGCACACTTACCGTAGAACAATCGTGTTATAAACCGAAGAATAAAAGGTTTTAGAAATATAGCCTGGGAAATACCGTCTATTGTATCATCGTCGGGGGTCCATACTGGCCATTTGGATGGATTTGGTGTCTGTAACGTACTACATCATTAGGCGTACATGAACTGCTGATGTAATATAATAACCTGTTCTTGTTTAGAACTCGTTGGGTAGTACAGCCTCATAAAAAGACCTTCCTTTGAGTAGTCCAACATTACGTCTACGCATCCTGGTACGTATTTACCTAAAAATTAGCACATTTCAGTTAAGGATTCATTTACCATATCGCGCTTAGTGAAGATTACAATCCAATTAGTTGTTTAGATACGGACAAGATCAGGTATTTATACAGAGGTAAATTACACCACGCTTTCATTGCACAATAGATACCCACTGTTCAATATCGATATGAGATCGAATAGGCTTACAGATGAAAAATTGGAATGGTTTATTGGGAAAATTAAAAAAAAAAAGTCATCAAAATTGGAACCAGACGAATCCTTTGACAGTGAAAAAATGGACACGACAGATGAAATCGTTAAGATGACCGTGTTTTGTGGGTAAGGACACAGTTATAGTATGGCGCACGCTTCCAACCAAGTTTGCAAAACACTTCCGGAAAGATATGGTCAACATATTTCCTCGTCATGTTCTACACCAGCAAATCGTAGCCCGACCCAAGGGCTAAAATGGACGACGGTCGGATTAAAAATTTAAATAAATTGTTACTACGACAGCGTTAGGGTGCAAGGTGCAAAACATTTCATTGCGTTATTGAAGTGGCAATAGTCCAGTCAAAATAGGATTTGAATTTGCAAAAGGTCAAGGAGTTTTGAAACTTGGTAGATTACTGTATTTTGGGGTCCTGAATAATACCATGTGCGACCTTGAACGACCGCCGCTCGCGACGCCATATTGGAAAAAAGGTACGTATATTCAGTTTTTTGATCATTTCTCCGTTCCAGCACCACCTAGGTTAAAAAGGGCTTTCGTATTTAAAATTTTTTCATTGGATGAATATTTTCGAGCCACAGCCGAGTAAAAGTCAGAAATCGCAATACCATTTTCTCCAAATATGGGCGACAGATTTTCATTTGTTTCGTGTCTAGAGAGCGAATGCGAATTAAAAAAATGTCCTGACTTTTACTCGGCTGTGGCTCGTAAAATATTCATCCGATTAAAAAACTTCGATTACGAAAGTTATACCTACGATGTTTTGAGGTCTATAACTTTCGTAATAGCTACTTTTAACGTGGGTAGCACTGGAACGGAGAAATTATCGAAAAACTGAATTTTCGTACACTTTTTCCAATATGGCGGCGTGAGCGGCAGTCGCTCAAGGTCGCAAACCTAGGGTATTATTTAGGACCCCAAAATATAATAATCTACCAAGTTTCAAAACTCCTTGACCCTAGGGGGAAACAAGACGATTTTTGGTGTACACCAAAACTTCAAATTAATTCACGTTAATTCAAAATAATTCACGTAAATTCATGTTAATTCACGTTTATTTAAGTTAATTCCCTAAATTCAAATGAATTCCCGTAAATTCAAATTAATTCACGTTAATTCACTCTAGTTTACGTTAATTCAAATTTATACACGTTATTTCAATTTAATGCACGTTAATTCAAATTTATTTACGTTAATTCAAATTGAATCACGTTAATTCACATTAATTTTCGTTAATTCTAATTAAGTAATTCACGTTAATTCTTATTAATTCTAGTTAGTTCAAATTAATACAGAGGGGTGTACATCAAACATTCAAAGGTGTTTCCATCTAGAAGTTTTCCAAAGCTAATTTTTACCAGGACTCGAGTCCTATTTTGTAGGAGGCTAAATTTTCCGTAGGCGAATTATTCACGCAAGTATTCTAGCGAAGGTAGATTTTTAGGAGCCTTTTTTTATGAGAGCGATTTTCCATAGCGAATTTTCAAGAGATATCTTAGGGGATTTTTTTTACAGAAATCGGCGTATTTTCGAGAAACGAATTTTTCAGGGCAAATTTTATCAGGACGAGTATTTGTGGGTCAAATATTTCAACGGAGATTTTTTCGAGGCTAAATTTTTCACGCAAGTACTCCAGGGAAAAGTTTTCCAGGAACGATTTTTTCGTGTTTAAATTTTCAGGACAAGAATTTTTCTATAGCGAATTTTCCCAGGGTGAGACGTGCTTTTAAGTGTCAAATATTTTTCTGTTTTCTGAGGATTTACAAGGGCAATTTATTCAGGAATCGAATGATTTTTTAGAAACGAATTTTTTTAAGGGGAACAAGTACCATTTTTGGTGTGCACCAGACATTCAAATTAATTCACGTAAATTGAAATTAAATCACGTCCATTCAAATTAATTCAGGTTACTTCGAATTAATTCAAGTTAACTCAAATTAATTCAGAGGGTTGCACACTAAAAATTCATAGTTGTTTCCCCCTAGCCTTGACCTTTTGCAGCAAAACCCTCTTTTTTTGCCTATTTTGACTGGACTAAAGTTACGTTAAAAAATCAGTATATTAATGAAAGTGGTGCACGTAAATTGGTTATACGAGATGCTAATAACATTATAAGTAAAACGGTATCGGTAAAAAAGTTAAAAACGCTTAATTCGTGCTTTTGTTGGCTGTCAAAACCCTAAGTTGTAAGGGTAATTTTGGACATTTGCATACTGCGGAATGTTGGTAACCATTCCTGTAAGTAGGTAAACTAAAATGGAAGTAATAAATTGAGAGGAACCTAAAGCACGGGTTTGTTCTGGATTCAAATTGGTCGTCATCTTTCGAGATTCACTTTCAAGGAGTAACCCAGTTTAACCAGCCTGAAGTTACATTCGCTTTTTTTAAGGACATTCGCTTTTGGGATAGTACCAACCTAAATGGGAAAACAAAAAATAACTAGGACCGGGCTGAAGTTACATATTCGTTTTTTTTTAATCAACGGCCTTCGAAAGTGATGGCACCGGGACCAATTTTCATCCCCTTTTTGGAAAATAGTCCTAAACGACAAATTCGTCCTCGAAGTTGACAAATTGCGCAAGTGTGTGAGTGAGTGAGTTTTGCACGCGGAGGATAAGGGCGCCGTGGAGGCCCTACCCATCCATCGTTTTTCGAAAAGTGCCCCACAGTTCGAAAAATTCCAACTCACACACTTGCGCAATTTGTCAACTTCGGGGATGAATTTGTCGAGGTTTAGGGCTGTTTTCCAAAAAGGCGATGAAAATTGGTCCCAGTCCCATCACTTTCGAAGGCCGTTGATTAAAAAAAAGAAAGTAACTTCAGGCTGGTCACTAATCCAAAAATGATACCTATTTATCAGGGCCAATTTTTCGCCCCCCGGTAGCTGAGCCCTTAGTGGTCGCCCATCTGGCCACTGCCTAGATACGGTCCTGCCTGACTACATTGTCACAACCGAGGTCACAAACCCACAACAATCAAGCAAGACAACGACAAAACAATAAATTATAACAAAAACATGGCTGCTTGTGGTCTGTGTGTTCTCGTATACATTTATACAAAATTACCTAATTCCAGTGTTTACTGTTTCTAGGCCACTATAATAGGCTAATTATTTTTATCCAAAGCTATTAGTCTCACTTCTCGATTGTAATGAGAAATAGAGAGCCGCAGCTACCTATATTAATAATTTACATAATCATAATACCTAATACCACACATTTTACCGAATTCTACGTCACATATAAATCCCAATCCCCGTATACCGTTCCCCATCCTGAGTACATTTGACCTACGCGCATGGGGATTCTCGCCCCACCCACAACACAACACAGCTGATTGATTGTTGAACTTGAAAGCGGTAGTCCTGTTTACGTAAACGCAATGACTTATTATGTTTAAATTATTAAATTGTGCGTCTATATTAAATAAGTTAGAGATTCGTACCTTGTGGCTTAGGTAAGTGCGTTGATTTGTTATTGAAAAACCACATTCCGAACTTCACAAAATCGAACACGTAAGTTTTCTAGGTTATGGAGGGAACTTTTAATGCTCTCTCACAGCTTACTGATAGTGGCTCTCTTTCCTACTTCACGACTTACACTAGTAGGGCAAGGAGCAACAAAACGTGGACGGTAGAAATGATGAACCCAAGGCGCGATTTCACTCGTGACTCGATCATACTCTTTGGAGGTCAATTAGTAATCAAATCATTACATTGCGTTTGCTTTTTTTTTAGCAGACGCGGGCAAGTGTTGCACTTAAGGGTCATTAACTTTTACTATCGCGGTGGTTCCTGCTGGTTAATTGGTTTTGTGTGGAGGAATTATGTTTATGATACACCCAATCTTTGGTGTTTATAACTTCCCGTTCGATGAAAACGAAATTAAGTGAAAATCATTCACAGTGGCGTACCTAAACAAGTGTTATGTTGGGGATGGATTGCCAATTGCACTAATTACGTCACAGTATAATAATTTATCCGTTCGTGTTTATGATTGTAAAATAAGGGTTGTTTGGATTCTTTATTATGGGTACGAATTTAATCCAGCCGGGAGGTGTACAAAGGACAAACTACTTGTATTGTGACGCAATCCCTTGGACCTTGGTGACAGAATATAGTACGCTACATATTCTGTGCCTTGGTCATGGTGTATACATAATAGACACCATGGCCTTGGTGGATGTAATGCAAGAGAGACAGAGAGACGGCAACCCCATTCTTTTCCAAAGAACCAAATATATAATTTAGGAAAAAATCAAGCGTCTTTATGTGTATTTTACATTGACAGGGCCTATACTGTACAGATATATTATTTATTTCGAGATTTATTTATAAAAATACAATGAACTAAAAAAAAATAAAAAATTGGAAAATTAAAAAAAAATCAACGACCTAAGTGGCAAATATAAGAAATGGGAATAGAATATTCATAAAAATTGAGGATATTTAGAAACATTCGAACCAGCGAATTGACTATTCCTAAGAATTAAGAAAAATGAAAAAAATGGTTCATGAAGTTGTACCGATATCGCAATATTCCTTTTTTTGTTGTATCACAAACAGATTTTGTGCTCATATCCCTCACATGAAGACAGTAACTTCAAGTAATTTTAGATGAGCTTAAAGTAATTGTAAGAAGATTTTAAATACAATTTAAATTTGGACCATACAAAAGTAATTTTTTTGTTTTCTTTTGATAGTTATATAGTAGGCTAGGTACCTACTAGTTTAATAAAATTCATGAGAATCTGCTCGGTATAGTAATTTTTTACCTACTCAAGATCTTCACTCAAAGTAAAGATATGTGTATAATCCCATTACTATTGATCTGCTGTCAGTAACATGTACAGGGTTATTCCGTACATTCAGATAGCGCCATAGTGTAAGAAATATATACATAACATGTTTTGCTTCAATTTGCATTTATAGTATACTAGCTGACCCGACGGACGCTTTCCTCTTTCTTAGCTATTAATACCTATTCAATTCGGACTGGAATAAATAATTACAAAAAATTATTTCAAAAAATTTGCTGTGGCTAGCACAGGTACCACCCGCCCCACCTGCGCATGCGCGATTCTGCCCTTTTATGTCTAGAATATGCGTAGCGAATTTGGTTTAAATCGGTTCAACCATTTAGCCGGAAAAGGGATTTTGACACACTTGTCCCAAATTCTCCCCCATCTCTCCCCAAAATAATAAAAAACAAACGGACTCACTTCTAGTTGCTTTTGACGATTGGCAACGTACCTTTTTTTTGTTGCGCCAAATGCCGTAATTTGAAAGCAATTATTGTATTTCTGGATATACAGGGTGATTCCTATAGTACCTGCCACCGTTTGGGAGCGTGTAGGTGGTGCGTAGGGGAGTATTTTGATATAGGACACTTGGGGTCGGAAATCTAAAATAAGGGTGCCAGAGCCAAATTTACCTTCTGGAATTTCGCGCCTGTAGGTAGGCAACCCAACCGGCCGGCGGTGCACACGGAGCGATCTCAGGCGGCGATGTGTGGCTGACACTTGATCAGAATTTTGTTTAAACCCACGAAATCCCGTCTGCAACGACGCGTATCAAGTGAATAAACACTATGGCAATAGTATAATAATAGTTGGCTAGATGTAGGAAGTGCATTGAGAACAACGGTGGCCACGTTGAACACTTGTAAACGTTATTGCTTTTGACTGTCGTTTTCCCTCCTTCCCTCCCATGTCGCTTCCTCGCGCTAACTCGCTCTGCATCGCTCCGCGCGAAACGTCGGTCGGTTGGGTTGCCTACATACAGGCGTGAAATTCCAGAAGATAAATTTGGTTCTGCCCTTATTTTAGATTTCCGCAAGTGTCCTATATCAAAATACTCCCCTAGGCACCCCCTATACGCTCCCAAACGGTGGCAGGTACTATAGGAATCACCCAGTATGAGTAAAAAAATGTAAAGAATCTGGCCCATTTCCGGAAACCAAGGAATGTAGTGGCTCTGGTGGCGGTACCGATGACGCAACATAATCCCGGGGCGTCAGTTTTAATCTTAAAAGCCTTACAATGTGGACACACAAAGTTCTTTGGTCTAATAGCAACGATTTACTGGAAACTGTAATCGATTGCTACGTTATAATTAAGTGCAACTCGATAGGGATTAAAGAGAACATTTCTGCGTTGTTCATATCGATTCCGTTAACTTCGTTTCGCGCTTCGCTTTTCTCGTCAGAAAGCAAAGATTATTCAATTTTTGAAAAATATACAGGGCGTTTCATTAAAAATTTACCACATTTGCATTTTTTACTAACTTGGCGACATCCATTTGTTTTTTTATTTTACATTTTTTGGCGACATGATAAATCCCACATTTCTAGTTTTTAGCGCATTTTTGCAAAAAAATTTGTTTTGTAAAAAGTAGCTTTTAATCTCACTTTGGCTGGGTGGCTGGCTGGCTGGCTGGCAGTAAATGCGCGCCCGTAGAAAAACGCTTGTAAAAAGACAAGGAGTGTACATGTAACTATCGGGGCCCGGAAAGTCGACGAATCTGGACGCCATGTAGATTTTTCAGTTTTTATCTATCTTCTTCTACAGTTTTTCTCCGATTGTTTTCAAATTGGTGTCGTCGGGAAGATCTTGTCAAACGTGGCGGAATAGGGGCGAAATAAACCACCTTTTGCGCGGCGCGCTTCGAGGGGTAGTCGACTTTGGGCGCCCAAAAGTTTCTTACAGCGCGGCGGTCTCTCTTTCTCGTGTCACTAATAGAAGGTCGAGCTATGTGAAGTACCCAAAAGTTGAATACGATTTTATGCCGGGATTTTAGCGAAATCTACCAAAATGTGAATTACAACGTGTGTGTATCGACACAAAGGATTTTACTGATGGTGGAGTCAAAACTTCAAACGCGAATTGAGTGCACGGTAAGTGAGAAAATGGTACCGACAAAGTGAACGTGGTAGCTTTCGGCAAGATCTTATTGATGGTGGAGTCAATATTGGCTAATATAACACTGATCTGCCACACAAAAATGCGCTGAAGTCCCTTCGATCTCACACGAGGACTTTGATCATTTTTTTCTATCTTTTATAATAAACGCGATACGCCCTGTCCAAATATATGGAATAACCCTGTACTTATCTTTTTGGCGGCTTTCTTTAAAATTTAAAATAAATACCAACTCCTACTATTGAATTCTACCTTCTACCAACTATCGCTCTCCTCTGCGACCGAGATGTGCGAGTGAGTTGAGTGGGAGTGCGGTTAAAAACTGTATTTTTCTTTCACGGTATTCTGATGAAATATACCCACCGCTCTTCTGCTGTAATCTGATCCTTCATGGTACAAAACGAAAGCATTTATTCCAAATGAACTGAAGGAATATTCCTCTTGGGAGGTGCGTCCCCGAAAGTCCCAAAACTTGAGTCTCTTCTTTAATTTATCTTTCAGCAACCAGATTGCCTGATTTTCTTGCGAAAAAAATTTCATGAAACTCTTAGCATTGTTTATGGTGCGGTCAAAAATTACAGTTTTTTTGAATTTTCAAAATTCAATTTTGGATTCGTTATTTTCATGTTGAAGAACCCCCACATATCAAATTTCGCCGACATCCCATTTATGAATGCACCATCTTGGAGTAGGAATTTTGGAAATATTGTTACAAAATCAGAAAGGGCATACCAAAATACCAAGGGAAACCCTCAAGTTCCATACTGTTGTTAGCTTTTACAATTTAAATGTTTAAATTTTCTAAAATCTTCATCATCATCTCCTTATCGCTTATTATCTTAATATTTGTTCTTCCCTGCCTTAGATATACAGTGAATTTTTTTAAAATACGAACATAGGAGTTTGCATGCAATGTAATTTCCCTATGTTCGATTTAAAAAAAAACACATCAATCTATGAGGTGTGCGCGGTTCACATTCCCAAATCGTACAACTTGTGTGACTATGAACAGCAACTGATAGTCTTTATGATGAAGAGCACCCGGTAAGATTTTTTTAAATAAGCCGTGTGAGGTCATAGCAACTTTAGGATAAATTTTTCTTAAACTTACGATAACTTGACTTCACATGGCACGCGCTGACATCGCAATTCATTGTGAACCAACCTTTAATTATTAAGAAAATAAGAAAATAAATACCGAAAACAATTACAATAAATGTTGGAAGTGTCCTCCTTGGCATTCTAAGCAATAACCTAACCGATTTCGTAATTAAATTGGACGGTGGTATTTTCAAAAATGTGACAGCTGTCAATTGTATCTACTACTCATTTGAACTACTCAATAGATTGATGTGTTTTTTTAAAAATCGAACATAGGGAAATTACATTGCATGCAAACCAGAGACTTGCTATAACTAGACTGCGCTTAACGTATCTAAGGTGTTGTCGACACAGTATGCAACACACAATGCACCGCGGGGCAAAAATCGCAGAGATGATGTGCAATATAATGAAATAAGCTGTTATTTTAGATGTTCCGTTCTTTAATTATTCTCGTGATTAGCTCGAATTTGTGAACAGATAAATTTCTGTTGAGAATAAACCAATAAACTTAGGTTAACTCGTGCGTATCAACATGTACTCTGTAGATAGAATTTTAAATAATATGCAGATTTCCAACGGATAAAAGTTTAAAGGGCCAATGGATCAGAGCCATTCGAAGAGAAAAATTTACTCCCACCATAGTGCATTTGCGGGGAATGAAGCCTATTTTAGACAGGTACCTACGAAGGTGTTAAACAATAACGCAATACCGAGCGTTTTCGACTTTCCCATTCACTTAAAATAACGTAGAACTATTATTCGACATCCTTTACCAGATAACGGCAGTACCTATTTGCCTATTAGGTATAGACGTAACTAAGTACTTACTGGTACTAAGTATATTTCAGGTTTTGTTACAAGAAAAATAGCTAAAAGTCTGTTAAATGTTCCATATGTGCAGATGCGATATTCGCATCAGAGAGTCATTCAAAGCTTTTAACTAGAAAAAAATCGTGGAGGATTGTTGCACGTATCAAGCGATGAATTAAAAATTCGCCAAATTGCTGAAAATGTGTTCAGGTTTTTCATTCAATCCACACCACACCGCGTTGTAAACAAAATGGTTATCAGCAGTCTAAGAAAAATAAATAACAGTTACAGCCCATTTGGGTTTTTGGATAGGCATATATTGAATTAAAATCCGCTAAATAATCATATCTTACTACTTACATCTTTAGTTTTAAGAGTATATTTTCCCATGCGTGTTCACCACCAAAATACACATATAAATCGAATTAGGACCAGAGTAAGGCAGTTATATACCAATTTAGTACAAATAAAATACCAATAAATTCGATTAAAACAGTTAACAGTTATATGTTATCTTTTTTTGCTACTAAAATTTAGAATAAACATATGCTAAAGCAAGCTGCAGAACGTACGTCTGCCCCGCGATGAACAGTTGGTTGCCTATCCTATCTTGACAACAGGCGTTTATAGTAAAATGTACGTTACGCGCGGTCTAGTTATAACAAGTCTCTGATGCAAACTCCTATGTTCGCATTAAAAAAAAATTCACTGTATTAGCATCCATTCCCTCATCAGCTCCTTGTACCTCGCCCTCTGTCACAGTACATTTTTTGTCAATTCATCTTGCATCCTCTCTCCTGTTTTTCTCATTCTTTTGACCTCGCCCCATCCGTATCGAATAGATATGAATTTTTTTTACCACCCGCACGATAGTAAGGGTATTGGGGTAAAAAATTTCCGTCCACTTTTTAAACGGAAATAGACGTTTCGAAGCACCAGGGTTCCGAATTATACAAAATCTCGATGATGTCTGTCTATCCGTCCGTCTGTACTTTCATTTCCGGCTAAACTGCTGAACGGATTAGAACCATTTGGTATACACAAACGAATGGACCGATTACGATGAAATTTTGCGGGAGGATTCTTTATCAAATTTGTAGATCGGAGTTCGTGAATTGGCAATGTAGGCCAAAAAATAAGGAAGCCGCTTTTGCCATCTCACCCAGCAGGTCGTTTGCTATGTTTGTTTAATTTCTTGTATTGTGTAATTACAGACCCCAAGATATCCAATAACCTAATCTGAAACTTTGCTCTCTGGGCCGAGTGATTTCTACGTCTGTCGGCAGTCTGAACTGATAACTTATTTATAAACAGATTCTCTATTGATCTTGGCGTTAACAACTAAACAAAGTTCAATTACTTAGGTAAGATTACAGTGGCGTAGCGAGAGGGAGGCGATACCAATTAGCAGTGAGATTGGAGAGGTGCCTCATTGAGATTGAGCCAGACACGGCTGTGAGACGATTATTCGAAGTCGTCATACCCGTCTTGGGAAATTTTCAAACGCTTCCCAGCCCCAGCTAAGGAACCTTTGGAAGTATGTCGTTTCCAGGTCAGGTCCGTGGCGGCGTATGGACGAGAAAACAAATACAGTTACGGGAAGCGAAAAATGAGACAAATCCGAATGGCCCAATAACCCCGGTAAACTCTGGGAGCCCGAAATTTGCGAGTGGAATTCGATGGTGGGCGTTCTGCAAATAAAAATACACGTACGAACCTTATATTGCCTGACAGAAGCGGAATCCACATAAACAAAGTCTCTGGAAGTAGTCACATTTGGGGAGATTCCAGTACTTTACATTGTATCTTCGAAATAGGCTAGAATGGCCCATACCCTGACAATCTCCCCACGACAGGCGACAGAGGTGCACTCGAGCGGTGGAATTTTTGACATATTTTACGCAAGTAAAACTGTAAGTTAACTATTGTAGGCGAAAGGGTTTGGTCTGGCTGCATTTTCAGAATAAAGGAAATCAAATTGGCTCGGGGTCCGTTAACCAGGTGGTGTCCTTTTTTGTTTTTGTGATGCCATGAAACAGATTTCTTAATTCTGAATTTTTAAGTTGGAGTCGTATATTATTGTAGCGAGTATCCCAGACATTCGGGCGCCAACAGCCGCCCCATAAAAGATTAATCACCGGCGATAAGGAACGAAAGCGGATGTGGCGCATTCTTTCCTATATACCGACTTCGTAGGTATTCGGGAATTCTCGAGAATGTTCGTGATCTTTCTAGAAACACTCCGTTTGCGATATAAGCAAATCGAATTGTGTCTAATGGAAGTTTCGAAGTGATAATTAGTAGTACGCGTTCGTCTGTTATAAACCTGCATGTTATAAACTTGTGTACAAATGAGTAATAAATAATAGCTAAGTAATTTATAAATCAATCTATTTAATTACTATTAATTAATTGAAGATAAATAAATCATGTAATTAAATTTATTTTACTTTAGTACAAGTAGATGGGATAGCATAGGAAAACGGTTTATTAGGAATTTATTCGTTTTTTTGTAATTTGTTTATTTTTTGGACTTTAATTTGAAGTGGGAGGGGTTTCAACGAACCCAACTCACTAATTATACATTGATTTAACATTATATGGGATTTGGACTGGGAGATCATTGTTTAATCAATCAATAAGGGAAAACAAACGATGGTTTCCCAAAAACCGACTGATAAATTAATACAGTTAGTTCGAAAATTGTGTTTGAACCTTTCACGTGTCATGGTAAGAGGTATGCAAGAAACGATTTTAGAACATTTCAAAGGCACTCTTGATTTTTCGAAACTGAAATTGATGTAAAACTGTAACGCCCTTCTTTTCTTACCTGCTACCGTAAGGTGGTAGAATGTTCTCTTCCACACCATTGCAAGTATGTTTTGTTTCCAGAAGTATAAGTAAAACATTAGAAATGGAAGGATACGTAATGACAGAGTCCGGTAACATCCGACCCATTGTGACCCCAGAAAAAAAGTCGCCGACGAAACGAACGAACTTTGTAGGCATATCACCTCAGAGAGAGCTCACAAATATCCGTACACCGACGGATCGGCCGTTCAGAGTGTCAGTGGAAGGTAACATTGGAGCCGGCAAATCCACATTGATCAAGTATTTCTCACATTTGCCTGGAATTGAAACATATCCAGTAAGTTCACTCTTTCTCTGTGCTTAATTTGGGCATTGTTCGTGTTTAGGAACCGATCAATTGGTGGAGAAACTTGGACGGGCACAATCTTCTGGAGTTGTCATACTTGGATCGCGACAAATGGTTGAATACATTTCAGATGTATGTGCAGTTGACCCGACTGAAAGTTCAGACTACCGTTCCTCAAAGTACAACCACAGTGCAGATGTTCGAGAGGTCATTGCAAAACAATCGGTACTGTTTCGTCGAGCAGGCATTTAAGAGTGGAGCGCTTCACGGAGCAGATTACACTATTATTGACGAGTGGTACAAATGGGCGAAAAATAATTGTGATATTGACCTAGACTTGATAGGTAACCAACTCATTCTTGTATCGTAATGACGAGTTATTTTTCAGTTTACCTAAAAAGCACGCCTGAAGTTGTTTACGAACGAATGAAGGCTCGTAAACGGCCGGAGGAATCGAGTGTACCATTAGAATACTTGAAAGAATTGCATGATAGCCATGAACAGTGGCTTATGACTGACGATATCAGCTTCAATTCCATTCCAGTTTTAGTCTTGGATGCGAATAAAACCTTAGAAGAGATCATGGAGCAGTACAAGATTAATGAGAGTAAAATTCTTGGCAATGAGAAAAAACGACGGTCTGTGGTGGAGAAGAGCGAGAAGGAACGTGTTAAAAGAGTTCTGAATTTGTAATTTTTGAATTTTGATTTTGTTTTAATATGTGGGACCTCATGCCAGGGACAGAGACTGTTATCGTTTATAAAATTTTAAATTACTTTTAAGTTCAATGTAATTTATAGTAAAGATAGAATAATTTATTTTTCCTTGAATATTTCTGGAAAATGTGGTTTCATTATCCACTTGATACTCAAAATTTACACATGATTTTCTTCAATTCATTGGATTCAATAGGACAGTTTGTGCCGCTAATTAGTGGCAGTTTGATCGAACCTCATAATAAAAAGATTGAGACTTTTTCGTATTCCAAGTGGCGAAGGAACACTTGCAGCTATTTTTTGCCAACATTCTGGATATCCTAACCAGAGCTCAGTGCTACCTAAACCATATAACAAAAACATTAAGAGGTTTTTTGTTTATATTCCAAGTGCCAAAAGAATATTTGGGACCATTTCTTGGTAAAATTTTTCAGTTTTGATTTGAGTTCCAGATAGTCATTCAAGAGTATTGAAAGGTAGACTTGGCTACTTATGAAACGAAGACTATGGAGGATTTTTACTTTTTCATATTTCTATGTAGGTACATATAAGTTGTTTGACCTTTGTTGTTGGGATATTTTTGGTAAGATTTTAAAGTTTTGTATAATAGTGTTGAACAGCCCTTCAAAGGAGTAAAATATAAAACATTTCACGCGTTGTGGGAACATACCCTATGGCTAGGGCAACACACATCACAATTGAAAGAATGGCAGTGTGGGAAAAAATACGAAACTGCTGAATCATGTTTGTTGTACTTGTACTGTAACGGTGATTATTGTTGTATTAAGTATTTATTTATGTATTCACAAGGAAGTTTATTATCAGTGACGTTGCACTGTATAATTCGGTTTAGTTACTCCGTGGAGCAAGTACCTCATATTGTCCGATGCTTCGTTGTTACTTTATTCTCGTGCGGACTGGTACTGCAACTTTTGTGTCTCTACTTACCCATGTGTTTTACTTGGGCGATAATAATGGACTTTGACATGAATGCTGATCTGATCTGATCTAAATAAAGGCATTGTTTAATAAAGTATTTAAACAATGATAAAGGTCAGTGATTACACTATGTAGAAGTTCATTCGTGCCATCCATTTGGAATCGATTGCTACCGAGATTCAAACGTGCCGCGAAACCTCTGTAGTTTCGACTTGAAAGTTAGATGGCTCTGCTTGTAGTTTTTGTACATAGATATATAAATACCTAGATACAGCCATCCTTAACAAACGTACCTCGGTTTTTAAAAAACATATCAAAGAAATTTGTACATCTCTCCATTACTTTCTAACCAAGAAGAAACATGTTCTATCTCTTTTTATTGCATTAACTTCTATGTCGTACGCGAATCGGACGCTTAAAACAAACTTAGCGCGTCCCATAAGTCATGTGACAGTTGACACATTTCACGATCGCGCGAAATCAAATCTAACTAAATGGCCGGTTTATTCACTAAATATTATGTAATTATTGCGTTATCAATGGAATACGAATAACATTAGTGCTTGCCATAATGATAGACGCGTCCATAATTGTTATTCCTGAAATAGTTTTATTACATAGAGCTACGCCATTCAAATTTGGGACTATGTTTACCTTGTTTGGCATGATGTGCTGCAGTGAATTCATTGCTGGCTTACAGAATACCAAAAAAACCGTAAGTAAGTAAAGTTTATGTTCAACATTTTAATTTTAATTGCATGGTTTTAGGCGTATTGGTAACGGAGATTAAGTTGCGACAGGAAGTGAATTCGTTTCCAATTATCATTTTGGCCTATATGATGTTGATGCAGTGCGTTTGTATCATGATCACAAAGAAGGATCCGTGCAATATTCTTAGGAAAACGAGATTTATAGACTGTGTGTGCGTGCAATATCAAATTTTGGTCGCTACGCGTCTTGCCTCCCTTTCGGCATATGTTGTACAATCGGTGGGGTTTCTTTTTGAAATTATAGTGCTAATTGTAGTAAGTAAGCTACACGCCGTGTACATTTATTTAAAATAAATACAACATCTTAACAATGATATCCAATTGGTGATAATAATCATTTAGTCAACATTCATTACGTTTGTAAAAGTTCACAATCCGAATCATCATCAGATGAAATTGACAAATCCGAATCATCACTGTCAACTTCAGAAACATCAACCAATATAACTTCTCTTTTAAATTAATCACTTTCCACATGTTCACACACTTTCTTCCAGTTGTCAGCTGTAATTTTTTCAAATTCTTCATTTGCCAGCTTTCTAAATAACATCTTCCATTTTAAATGTAACATTTCTTTGCTGCTATGCAATTTAAATAAATAAAAAGGCGGTTTATTTATGTTGTAAAGTCTCAAATTTGATAATTTTCTGTGTGATTTGTGCTAACAATTTGATTGACAGTTATAATAAATAATGCGAATCTTGCCTTCCATGCTCAGGGTACCTCTATAAAGGATAGCGCTATACGTAATTAATGTGCCGAAAGTGATGGTAATAGATGGTACGTCCTTTTGAACTATGTTGGGGTATGGCTGTATCTATGTATTTATATATCTATGTTTTTGTATTTTGTAGTTGCCAACTGTAAGTACAGGGTAAGTCCAAATTGCAGCGTCGGCTTGGCGGATGTCTAGCATCATTACAGATTTTAATTAAACATTTTCTCCAGAGACAACATTTTTTGGTGGAGTTCTGGGCACAGTTTTGGTTTACCCTACACAACTTATGACGCTATTCATTATACTTAAGATTCCTATAGAAATATTAACGATCTAATTATCAGACTAAAAAAAGTTTACTTTTGACGCTTCCCCCTCTTCAATTATGAATGTTGAGCATTTTTTTGAACTGTGGAGAATTATAACAATTTGTTTCATGACCCATCATGAGCATTAAATTTATAACTATAATTAAATACCTATGGAGTATAGATAGAGATTTACCAATTTTTTCAATAATTAATGCAAGGGTTTAGCTTTAACAATGGCTTTAGATAATTAAATTATTAAGAGCACAATTTTAAAAAGTAAAATATTAAAATGATGCATATCCATCAGGAACCCCTACGTAGTTTTTTTTTGCTTCATGTTCAATAATGTAATTTAATCTTAGTAGTCGTTAGGAAATGCTTAGTAGATCACAAAAGGGAGATATTTATGTAGGTATCTTGTGTGCCAAATAAATCACAAACGTTTCATTAATATAAGTTTCTAGAATTCTGTATGCAAAAATTACAAATCGAGATAATAATAAATAGACAAATATAAAACAATTTATCGCAATTCTTGCCACATAGCTTATCCTTACTTCTGATCAAGGCTTGGAACTTACAGCTCAAGGATCATAATATAAGACTCAAGATTCAGGTTTGAAGACCCAAAACTCAAGACCCTACACTCGAGAACTTAAGACTTAGCACACAATAATATCCAAGATTCGGTATAGAGGCCCAATGCTCAAGATCCGCAACTCAAAGAGTAAAAGCTCAGGATTCAAAATTCAATATTTTATTTTATTTTTTTTCCTTTATTTTTGATGGATTCGAACCAGGGACTCTTAGCACCACCGTTCGCAGCTTGAACTGAAATGCGCCACACGGGCCAGCGACCACGACCACTACGACCTTGCATTACTCAAGACTCACATATGAATACCCAACAAGAAGGCTCTACGGAAACAGCCCAAAAGATTCAAACCTCAATATCAAACAATAAAAACCCTGAGGCATTCTAGATCCAAAGGTTAAACGATTAGAATAAGAAGTTCAAAAGACCCAAAAATTCGAACACAAATAAGATTCGAAAACTCAATATGTCGGAGGTCCCAGGTGTCCAAGGTCAATGATCCAAGATACACTACCCAAAGTTACGACAAGACGCTGAAAGATACAAGATAGAAGACGTACAATTTAAAGTTTCAAAGCTGAATGAAGGTTTATAATCCAGCATTTGATGTTCGAGGCTAAAGCCGAGGATCAAGGTTCAAGGTCTAAAGTTCAAGATTACGGCTTCAACATTTCAGGTCTAGGTTCAATAAGGTTTCAAGACAATGAAAAATTTCAGGTGTCTACGGTTACAGGGTAACGGAGGGTATTAAGATTCAAAGATTCGAAGATATTTAGATTTCCATTTTAGCATTACGATTCCAGGTTTAAGGTTCGCCCAAGATCCTAAAGCACAAACACTCAATTCCAAGATGATTTTAAGGTTACAAAGATGCCTAAACTACAAATCTCGATCACAGTATGAGAAAAGACCTACATTTTCCGAACGTTTGAGGTTGTACTGAGACTCTAAGGATTCAAAAACTTATTAAGATTCAAACATACCAATATGCGAATATATTCCAAGATTTCGAGTATCCCAAATTACAAATACAGTGATTTTGAGATTCGAAAAGTTCATACTGCCAAGATTATTAGACTCCAACATTCTAAGATGCTGTGTATTCCAGAATCCAATAAGTGGCTAAATAATAAGTCGGATAATCCAAGATCCCGCCAGTGGAAGGGTTCAAGAGGCTATAGTGCCTTAAGGTCCCCGAGTGCCATCATTCAAGAGTTCAAAAGTCAGTAATTTCAAGCGGAAAATGTCCAAGCGTCCAGTGATACTGCAGTTTAAGAAAACAAGGGTCTAGGGTTTCAAATTCTAAGGATCTAAGCGTCCACAAATCCGAGGAAGACCCAAAAATACAAAAGTCCAAGCGCAAGCGAGTACTTATAGGTCCAAAATTCCAAAAAATTCAAAAGCCCGAAGGTGCAAGGTTACAAGAATCGAAAGGTCCAAAAGGCCTATAACGACAAAGAACACGAAAATAATCTGAGTTGCGCAAGAAACAGAGAATGTGTCTTTAAAATCATGCTAGAACGGGCTATAGTTTGCAGTGTTCACTCATCATCAAAAAGGCTTTAGAGTTGCCATTTACGTTATTGCATTGTGGCACTGAAGTTAAAAATAGATAATTTAAGTTCTGTATACAGGATGTTTCAACTAGAACTGGCACTATACTTATTACTAACATAAATTCAATGCTAACATTCTTATTATCAGTCAACTTCCTTTACCAATCATATGAATCTCTTCGTGGCATTACAATGACATTAAATGGTCATTTGATATGTCGATCATTGCAGGTATTGAATTCTACAAAATAACGGGCGATCAAAAATGAGTTGCTGTCGAGTCGCCTTTGGAAGTTCAAGTTAAATACGATTTCCTATGTAAACAAAAGTTCCAAAGGTGACTCGACAGCAACTCATTTTTGATCGCACAGTATTCGATTCCAAAAAGATGTAGATTCTGCGTGGCTGCGGGTGGTGGGAAAATGCTTCTTTAAGGATTTCTTTTACAATAAATAAATCGTTATTCCAAGTACCTATCACAATATTGACTTACCTACCTACATCGTTAATTTTTTGTTATTTTCTAGAATTTTCAACTAACTATTTACATGCGAATTTAGATGACGAATTATAGTAGGCGGCGGATATGTTACCTACATCACAAGGTGGTTCAGAGTGGTATCTGATTCCATCGCCAAAAACCACCTCCTCAACGAATAAGAGCGTTTTACCGCTTTTCTAATGGAATAAAAGTAATTTATTTACCACGCGGGCTTGGAACAAAACCTCATCCAAGACCATAATATATAATGCGACAATGTTTCCTCTGCATGGAATGAACATTTTGGTCACCACCACACAAGACTCTCCAATTTTTGTTCATGAAATTCGCTCTACAAACAGGAAGTTAACAATTCGGGTGCTAGACAGACAGACAAATCGATAAGCAGAGTATGAATATACATTATACACGTAAGTAAAATAAAATTGGGTGGAAGAGCCAACCAAAACAAAAATCAAAGGTTTAAAATGTTTCGTTTGGCGCAGTCATTTTCCAAAAATAAGGAGCGAATTTAATTTTTTTCGGCAGGATTTTCGCCGGCACCGTTGTCGATTCTAATACAACTTTTTATGGCGAATCGTATGAAAATTATTAGAATCGTCCGGGCGTTCAAGGTATACTTTCCTACTGGGCTCTTGGACTATATGTGTGGCAGGGCCTATCGCGCGCTTTGTGTGGCAGGGCGTTAATAGGTATTTACAAGAAGTTTATTTTTAACAAGCTTCAATGACAATTTCCAAGTTTTTAAAGACACGTCCTGAACTTCGGGGAACATTTTCATTCTATATCGATTCAGAACTGAAATGCCAAAATGATTTCAATGAAATTGCCGCCGAGACTAAAGGCCCTGTCACACAGAGCGAGGCTTGCGATATCTATATCTGTACCCATTCTAGGTATGTAAATGCATTGTACCTGTCCCAACAGAGAAGGTTCTGACCGCGCGAAAGACCATGTTTAACAGGTTACATATAGAGTACAGTCGCCTGAAGAACAAGGGTTCTAGGAATGTTCTTAAATATATTTTTATTGAGATTCCTAAGCAAATTTCAAGAGGATTTCTAGTGAAAAGAAGGTTCAAGACAGCTTCAAAGAGGATTTATGGCCTTGTTTCTAAAAAATTCTAAAACCGCCATTTTGGGTGCGTTCTCGGTACCCTGCAGGTTTGATAGGTACCTACGTTGCGTCTCGCGCCTCTTTTGGCACTTCCGCAGTCTCCAAACACTTCTGAAAGTACTGGTCCCAAAGTGTAGTTTTTCGCGTTTTTCGGCAGTCCGTGATAGTTCTGGTAGTACCGTGATCGACGCGCCCATCTTCTGTACCCACCCCCCAGGCACTACGCCGTCTATCTAACCCTCCAGCGAGTGGTTTATGTCGAAAATACGAATGTGGCGACTTCAAGGTGGATGTTGGTCTTTGCTTCTAATATTTAATCTGCGACCATCCCTCATGCAGATTTAAAAACAGATCTCAGAAGCATAAAACCATGTTTAGCGCCAGATTTGTTTATTATTAGTGTTTGATGCTGATTAAAACGGTTAGCAAAGTAGTACCTGATGTTGGAATCTTAATATACATAGAAAAGAAAAACAACAAGATATAGATTTGATCTGTTTTCACACCAACGTTTTATTTATACAACATATTTTGATGTATAGTTAACATTTTTTTTTATATTTTATACTGTGTGATGTGATTGATATAGGTTTATGTATACATATATACTTATTTATACAAGGAAAAATACATTTAATACATATTTCATAAAATATATATTGTATATTTTAACATCTTAAATACCTAAATTAAAACACAAAACTAAATTTTCTCAATTACTACAATATCACATTGCACTTGGAACTCTTTTAAAGATTTCATCTTACAAAAATTAATAATGTATAAATTAAAAACAAACGGTCAATATAAAAAATAATTTATGTACACCCTGTAGTTTAAGATATATTTTTAAAATTTGTGTTAATGATCGTATAGGAACACACTCGAAGACTAAACGCAATTTATACATTACCAACTTTTCTAGAAACCAAACTATTTTTGAGCATATGAGTATTTTGGGAATCCCATTTTTGCAGGTAACTCATTTTTTTGCTAAATGAACAATTTCCAAATTTCTTAAATTTGCTATATTGTTAGTTAAGAACTATATTCTCTACCTTTTATACATTTGTAATTGTAATATTTTCAAAAAATAACTTACATTTAGATTTTTTAATTGATACTCACACATTGTTTTTACATATTATAGTAGCGCGGCGTTCAATAAAAGGAATAATACGGAAGCACAAAAAAATCACAATTATCCTACAATATATGTAAACTCGTTATTTGGCCGAGCAGGCATAGCAACGTTTGGCTTAAACACGATTGAAGGTACACCTGATGGTAATTGATGTCGTTTATATAGTATACTAGCCGCCACAAATTAGAACAATCCTTGAACGGATCTGCTTCAATTTTCTCGTTAACTCAAAGTCCCTTGCAGAACAAAAAGAAGCGCCTAAAGCGCGAAATATTAAAGTAGTCTATTCGTCAACTAATTTCCGCCTTAATACAAAAAATTATACATTAAAAAATAGGTAACAAAAACACATACTTGATTCAGATCAAGTTTAGTTGTGCGACAAGTATGTTGTCAGTGGCGCTGCACCGTGGTAGGGGCCCGTTACGCCACTGGGAATGTAATTTTGATCTAATCTAGCTACTTACGTGTCTATGATATTTTTATCTCACAACGCTACGGACTTTAATTTTAAAAAGTAAGTAAATTTTCAGTCGTATGCAACTAAGTAAATGTCACACTTAAGTCTCTTTGACGAATAAGCATAACTGATTTAAGTTATCGTATACTTAAATAATTAGATTTCAACGTGAATTTATTAGAGTGTTTTCTTGAGGTAATTCTAGATTTTCTTGAAACATGGAATTATTGTTTTGCTCCCTACTGATTTCTTGTATCGTTGTTACAGTATCTACAGAGTCTCTGTCTTCGGAGACGTCTTGGAATCTAAACAAAACGGGTGATCAGTAACGTACACAGGCGCATACTCAGTGCTACTTACGTGTAATGTTTCTCCTCCCCTCTCATTTCGCATATTACATTCGTTAAAGCCATAATGTAATTCTTCGCTAATGTTAATGTTTCTATTTTTGATAGTTTTCTTTCCATTTTTATGTGTGGTATTACTTCCCTAAGTTGCTGAAACAAACAAACTTCTTTAGTAAATCCCAGCCTGAGGTAATGGGAGTATGTAGACTAATGAAATATTTAACAATCCACTGATTTCATTTTATTGCATGAATTTTACCAAAACAATTAAGCTAATGTTACATTAATGAAGAAATAAACTGATACTTCACTTTTATTACATTTTAATTGCATCCATATCACATATTTCTCATGCATTAACTATATTGCTTAGAGGTAGGCCACAAAAAGGTCAGGTTCAATGATGAGTCTAGATTGAAAAATATTGCTTTTGTGAAAGCTCAAGTGAAATACTTCAAATATAGACCATTTTGAATACCTATTTATTAGTTTTTTTTTCATATTTGGTCTTGGTCTATGAGCCTGAAAACATTAGTGGCGCCTATATTCATGGTACTCCATTTTTTATTTCGACACTCATTGAATAATTTCACAGACCCAGATTCGCAAAGTTTTTTTCTCGATGGGTTTCAGAGGCGGACTGCTATCTTATGGGAAAAATGTACGATAGGATCACCACACTTAGTATTATGTCATTGCTAAATTACCATATAATTTCATTATGTATACGAGTAGTACTGTGTGTCCCAGGTTGAACGCACCATAGGCAAACATCTCGCCAAGGATCGACGAGGTCTTTGCTATGTGTTTGAAGTTAGCATTCAACCATACGTTATGGCGCTTGCCTGATGCTAGAAAGAGATTGGTGTACGAGCAGTATGTTGAACGAGCATTCAAATGCCTCGTGGATCCTTTGCGAAGCCGTTTCCCTATGGTGCAGTCTACCTGGAACATTCTGTACCTATTTTTATGTTCCTTCCATTGTATTTTAGAATTCCTTTCAAAACATATACATAGAAAAAATTTAAACACAATTCCACCAAAATTGTAGCATGAATAATAGCATAAATAATCATGGTTAAAATTCACAGTCTTCGAAATTGAGTATGAAATTCACTTTTGGAACATGCAGACAAAGCCTTGGGGACGCTTTGGAAAGGACGTAAAACGCTCGGGTTAACACTTATCGAATACTGAAACGTGATTTTTTTTGCCCTACTACACTGGTGTCTGTAAAGACTCTAAAAAACAGGAAGCACATTGAGAAGGATCCGGAAAGTCCGATAAACTGTATCCACTTAAACTTAAAGCTCTGGAATAAACTTAAAAAGCTCTGCAGAAGACCTGAAAAACTGTGGAAGTATAGTTATAGGAAATTCGGATGCCGATCTGGAAGCACCTCGTGCTTTCCAGAATTCCATCTTTCTTTAAAGCCCTGATAGACGCGCCTAGAAAGTTCTGCAAATAGCCAGGGAAGTTCTGGAAATGCAGTTGGAAAACGATAGAATGCTTTGGAAGGTGATGCAGAGTTCTGGAGTGCAGGAAGTCATTTCCAGAGTCTATTTGTACAGTTCTCAAAGAACAGTAAAACCTTTTTCAGAAATTCCTTTTCTAGGCCAGCAAAATCTATAAAGAGCTTCAATAGAGCGCTTTGACCATTGAAAATGCTTTAGACTGGCAAACAAGGCTTTTTCCACATTCATGGAGCACCTCTCTGAACGCCTTAGGCCTCTTTCTAGGATCTGACAAAGCTCTATAGATTAGTTCCTCGGGTTTTAATATTTTATTAAAGAGGCTTTTCTGAAGATCATAAGCTCGTCTTGCTCTAGAACAAAGACCTTGCCCTAGGAAGTCCCTGGAATGCAAGAAAAACTAAGACGCTACCCTATCTAGTATCTTTACAGAGGTTTATATAATCTCCTACGAGCTTTCCTATGGCGTTTACATCACTTTCAGTTTTCAGGGTTCTTTCTAGACCCTTTTTAGTATGGCAACTCGAAATATCCAGAAAACGTCTAAAACGCCCTGCAAATGTATTAGAAAGTTCCTGGAAGCATTAATAACAAACGTTTTCCAAAACCTCTGAGGTATATAAAACCTTTAACAGACATTCAGCCACAGTATATATTCAGCCTTAGTCTTTAAAAGTACACTAGTTTTAAGAATGTTTCAAAGCCGAATCGTGAACCTTAATGACTCGTAGTTAGCCGTTAGGATCTGTAAAAGTGTTTGAGTGTTTAAGAGCTCTTAAGGATCGCTTACAGTCCCGAAGTGTCAACAGCTTTTAAGAGATTTCAAAAGCTGCAAGTCTTGGAGAGCCTCCAATAGCTTTCAAGTGTTCAGTTCTTTTAAGCCACTGGTCACTCGAATCTATTCTTTAAGGTTTCGTTACTTTTGATGTCTTTGAACTCTTCAAAACCCTAGACTTCATATGTTATTAAAGCACCTTTTTAAAAACAGAGACGAGTACAGGGTGTACCACTGCGTTTGATCGTGGCGATTTGATAATTTCGGCTCCGTATCTTTAAGAATGTTTAATATAAGAACTTTGAAGACGCCTTACGAGCATTAAAGTCCCTCTGTACATTTGGGTACCAAAGTGCTTCTTAAAATTTAATAGAATAGAAAAATCTTCTAAAGGTTTTTTAAAATAAAGTCTCCACAAGTCTCCAAAAGTTTTGAAGACCCTTCTACAGACTTTTAAAAGTCCTTAAGAGCCTTTAAAAGTCTTAAATACGCTTCAACACTGTCATGAAGTCAAATAAGGATGTTTAGACTTTACCCTTACCAGCTTTTCAAGTTCCTTCAATGGAGTACAAGAAATTTTCACGGACCTTCAAGAACCTTTAATTAAAGGCCTTAACATTTAAACACAATCGGATATTTGATGACCCCTTAAAGTCTGAACCGAGGTCGTTGGACGTTTTAAAAGCAAAAACTTGATGTTATTAAAGTGCATTCTTAAAATTATTATACAGGGTGTATCATATTAGTGTGTAAAAACTGAAGGGTAGAAAATATCAAAATAAAACTTTTTCTCTCAATGAAACAAAGGTCCCAAAGACCTATGCGAAGCAGTCAGTTCTATCCTATGTATCTATTATGGTTGCCGAAATAAAAGAAACGCTAATTATGGATTTTTTGGAGCCATAACTCACAAACGAAACATTTTCTGCCATTGCTTTACTGGGAAAAATGTTTGTTTTGGTCGTTAATAATTTCTTTTGTATTAGAGTTAATGAGTTCATCTGAGGCACTTTACGTGCAATGTACGTTGCCTATCTTTACGTTGGGGGTTTGATTTTTTTTAAATGGTGGAATCCATTTTAAAAATACTTGTATTATTATAATAGAGATTCTTACGTGCCGACGTAAAAAATATTTTTGCGTTTCCACATTGGTACATTTTATATTCACATTACAATGACTGTTATACAATGTGTCCAAAATAAAAATGTCTATTATGGAGATCTCCGAAACCATAGAAGATACGACGATGGTCAAATTAGAGAAAAAATGCACAATTAATTACATTTTGTTATTACACATACATCGATGTACGATGCACAAAAAAAAACAAGTTGCGGGAATACCTATCGGACAAATATCCTGGAAAATGAAAAATTTATCCCACAGGTATTCTCGCACGATTACGGGTTATGCGCTGGAGCACCATTCTGCTGAAACCAACAGAGTTTCCAACTTTTGTTTTTGTTGTGCCGTACATCGTTGCGTTAGTAGGAAAAAATGCTACTCAATAAAATATGTACTTTTTTACGGGCTGTATAAAAAATAAAGTTGATGATGTTTCTCCTAAACGAAACGTTGTGTTAAAAAAAACATTGTATAATGTATATGGAAAACGAGTACTTATATAGATTCATAGATCTAACTAAAAACTAGGGGCTCTTTCCAGATACAGCTTCTGGAAACAAATACATGGACTATTTCAGCGAATGGATAGTAACATATATGCGTTACCAAATTAAGAAGTGACAATTGTTGCAAACGTTTTGGTAATAAAACTTTTTACCAGATTCGGAGTACTCCTGGAACTACACACTGACCAGAGACGAAATTTTGAGCCGGCGCTATTCTAAAGCCCGTATCGATAATAGTACGGGACACCTCCAGTGATACGCAACAGTATTATGAGAGGGGGCAGCGTAATGAATTTTCTAGAGCGACATTAAGGCGCCACCAAGTCGATAAATGAGTCACCTGCGATAAAAATGAAAGCGAATATGACTTTTCGAAAAGGTTTATTTGTTTGCTATGTAAGCAAATTAAAATGTGTTCAGTTTTTCTAACTCAACATCCACGCCAAAGTGATAAATAGTAAAATCCGGGCTTTACGCGTTATAAATGTGAGCACAAGGAAATGATAAATAATAATTTTAACAATAAATATTTTTATTTCGCTTGACTTGTTACAGAATGCAATTCACCCAAAACCTAGTATAAAACATAAAATACAGTAATTGATTTTATATGCATAAATCACGTAACTAAATTTACGTTAGATTATACTTTTGTGCCTTTATGGCACTGTATTTAATAGGGCTTGTTTTTGCATAGATACACAATATAATAAATTGCCTATGAGTAGGCCTACACGGGCATTATTTATGTCAGACGACAAAAAGCTATAACGACGTCAACATAGTCTCTACTTTCGGACGAAGGGTCCTAATGTATTGACAATCGGTTCTAAATACACATAACTTAATAATTCCTGTAATAGAATAAATGCTGCTAGAGCTTAAATTGTGGCACTTCGCTTGTTATCTCGATTAAAATTGGTCGTGCACAAACCTTGCACAAAAGGGAGGTGCATTTGCATTACTTTATCTTTGACGATAAAGATAACGTCATTTAATCAAACAAACAGTGTACGTAAACCAATTAATATTGGCAAATTGTCTTATAATGCAATTAGAATTATGTCTGTTTCGCTTTATCACCCCCATCGACCGCACCATACTCGAACAACAAGAGTTTGACGTAGGTTATAATTACATACACCTCCCCAAACACTCCAAAACAAAATCTTATCTATTTAAAGGGCTCCATCGTCTCCTAAAAATAAACATAGAGCTTATTTTTGGCGAAAACAACCGCCAACACAATAACTGTCTCACACAGTTCGTCGGGATCGCCTGTTATATTTCTCAAATTGACTTTTTATTTTATGGTACGATTGTTTTTACATATCTTTCGAAAAGTTTTCGCTAAATTATTATGAAATTCCGAGTGAAAGCATGGGATCGATAAAATAAAGCAGACATCAAAAAAATATCGGAAAAATTTTCGCTATGAACAGTTTGGGGATAAAAACATACATACTTTCTTATTTTTGCAATATACGCAATCGTGCAGAAATTTTTAGTTCAAGCATTGAATAATAATATTATTCAATGGTTCAAGTTCACATTACCTACGATAAAAAGTGCGTTATTAAATTTGACATAACAGACCAAGTGTCCAGCAAATACAAGTCGAACAGAAAAGGGCCCACTTTGATCCTTGAGGAACTCCCTACTATTATAATCTACCGCTTTTGTCGCATAAAAATTAATTGTGTTAACCGACCTAGAGTGGCTCAATGAAAAATCAATCAATTAATTAAAAATTAAAAATACATTCGTAGTTTGGCCTGATACTGTCATATCGAAGCTAATCGCGTACTTCTAGCGAGGAGTACGAGAGGTTACAATTGTCGATAGGTTCCAATGTTAAGATTAGAGCCAAAATTCAAATGGCGACCGTGTTCCTAAATTGGCCTAACTTGAGTAACAAAAAGGCAACAATTTTTGTGGGACTTTCTCGCCAGTGAACCAACCTTTTCGCATAGTAAACCAAAACCAAAAAAAGCTTCCCACTAAGAGCATAAGAGCAGTTTTCCAGGAAATCGAGATGAAACCATCACGTTTCGAATACACTCGTGAAGAAGAACTAATGGTAAATATTGCAAAATAACTGAGCTTGACACTACTCCCTTTCCAAAGAAAATGAGAACTGAGAAGCGCCGAACGGGATCTGAGTATGATACATGGTAGGAAGCTGTTTCACTTAGTGTCTGGGGAGTAGAAAATACGTGTAAATAAATTGTACTACCTGCACCTGACAGTTTTTATTAACTAAAGGTATAATTCAGGTAACGTATCGATTTTGATTTTGATGGGATATTTAAAATTGGAGCTTTATTTTGAGCATTTCGAATTGCTCACGTAACTTTCGCAAAAATTAGCACCTTCTATGGGAACTTTTTTTCGGAGAATCTGAATCTGGTATCAGAATGTTCATAGAAGCTACAGGTGACTACTTACTTATTTCTTATGGACGCCATACTGGATTCTGACGGAATGGGATAGAGGAAAAAAAGGAAATTCCTTTGAATGTATCGCCATCATAGCCATGTTGATTCACCAAGATCTAGAATTATAGAATTTTGCTACCAATTTATGTACTTTAAATTTGTGGTCAGTGGTGCCCTTCTGCATAGTCAACTGGGACCTTTTTTTAATGAGTACACGTTTTTTGATTGCAATTCGGTTCATAACTAAGGCCAATTCGCGAACTCAGATCTACATATTTGATAAAGAATCCGCCTGAAACATTTCATCGCATCGTTTTCGAGATTTCAAGCTAACGGACAGACGGACATACATTGCAAAATTATAAACTCGCTAGGACCTCGTTAATAATCAGTTATACGCGTCTGTAGCGCATTCCAATGACTGTAAAAACACGATCAACTTCATTTCGAAAAAGACAAAGGTCAAATGATACACATCAGGTTATCTTAGTGCCAAATATTTACCTAATCCGCCGCTCAGAATGTTACGAAGCTGAACACAAATATACATTTGAACCATATCGTTAATCCAGCGGGTCCCCCAAATTTAAAATGTAGCACCCCCATTAATTAATTCAAAACAATCCCCCTACGTCATCCACCGGTTCCTTTGGAATATCTAAGGATCAATGGAGATATAAGGCGATGGTCAAATTCGCGAAAAGTTGCGCAATTAAAGGGTTATTATCGTGCGACGTGCAGTAAAGAAAACCAGAAAATTCCGATTACTTCCGAAGATTTTGTTATTATTTTTTTCTAGTGTTATTTGAACAGACACCATTTCTCATTGCCACTTTTTGAGCTTTATAGGACGTTTACGTTGGAGATTTTCAATGCAACGTTTCGCTTGAGTAGCATGTTTAATTACGAATACAACGATGTACAGTAGGTACCAAAGAAAACAGAAGCTGAAAACTCTGTTGGTTTCAACAGGATGGTGCACCCGCGTACAACGCCCTAATAATGTAAGAATATCTATCGGGCAAATGTCCTGGAAAATAGAAAAATTTGTCCGATGGTATCTGTTGGAATAACATCAGAAAAGAAGAATAATAAATAAAATTTATTTATTGCACAACTTTTGCCTAATTTGACCATTGTCGTACCTTTTCTTTCGTTTTCCAGATCACATCATAGACATCCTTATCTTGGATACAGTGTATAAGATACTTATGAAATGTTCAGAAATATTTAGGAAATTTTGGAAGGAATTACATTTTGACGGCTTGTTGCCGTAGTGGATTAGGGGGTCTCTATGGTTTGAATGTGAATAAAAAATTCAAGACCACGCCTACTTAAAAAATTAAATCAAATAAAATAAAAATTTGTGCAAATTTTTTGGAAAAGTAAGAAATTTTCAAAATATGTGAAAACTATTTTCGAAATGTTTCCGAAATAGAAATGTTGGAAAAGTTTTGGAAATGCTGAGAAATATGTTTCAGAGATGTTGGGAAACTTTGGAAAATGTTTTGGAAATGTCAGATATCTTTGAAATATTTCAGAAACGATGGAAATGATTCGCAAAACAATGTGCAACAAATTATCGAAATGTTGGAAATGCGTACGCCATTATGAAAATGTCTAACAGGAATGTATAGCAAATTTGACAAGTGTATTTCTAAACGTGAATTTTTGCAAAGGTTATAAATGATTAAATTTGTATAAATTTTTAATCTTGTAATTATGTAATTGTTTATTTTTCCCAATATTTGTTAATTTTATTGCACACTTGTGAAATGTTTTGAAATTTGACGAATTTTCAATTCTCATTTTTGCATGTTTTTAAAATTTTTCTGAATTTTTTTATTTTTCTGTATTTGAATTTTTATGTTCCTTTTTTAGGATTCGACTGTTCCTTAACCAATTTTTCTTCAAATTTTGCCGAACTTGAACTTTTGTGCATTTGCTCCTAGTTATTTTGAAATTTTTCGAATTCTTTCAATGTTTTTAAATGTCCGGAATTTTCAGAACTTAAATTTTTCCGCACATTCCCTAGAATTTGTTTTTAAATTTTCCACTTTTTCCTAATTTTTAGGAATATTCAAATTTTCTGCTCCGAATGTTTCTGAATTTTCTAAATTTTTATGAATTTTGTCTTCCCATTTTATAAACTTTTGCTTTATCTGTAGCTCGTTTGAATATATTTTGAATATTTATTTACACCTGCAGGATTTTTTTGAATGTATTAAATTTATTCTGAAATTTGTTTAATTTTCTGTTTTTTGTTGAATTTTAATAAATTGTCGGTATTCTCTTTCATTTTTTAAACTTTCGATTCTCCTTTTAATGGCTCTTGTGAGTTATTTGAATTTTTTTCTTTTTCCTTTTTTTAAATTAATTAATTAATGTTTATAAATTTTAATCATTTTTAAAATTTTGTTAGTTTCCCAAATTTTTGTTAATTTGATTGCACACTTGTGAATTGTTTTGAAATTTTACAAATTTGCAATTCTCAATTTTGAATATTTCTAAATTTTTCTGAATGTTGTATTTGAATTTTCTTATGGACCCCATGTTGAATTTTTACGGAGGTAACTAGGTCTTGCTGAATCAACATAGCTTTGATGGCGGACCATTTTTGTCCTCTGTCTCATTCCGTAAAAATCTAATATGGCGTCCATAAGAAATAAGAAAGTAGTAAACTGTAGCTTCCACATCTAGTGAAATGCTGATAGCAGATTCAGATTCTCCTAATAAAGTACTCATAGAAGGTGCTATCGAGAACCGTCCATTTCCGATCGAGAGGAAAAAACGAAATATGACATTTTCGGTTTTCCGGTGATATCTCAGTTATTTTCAAAGATTAAAAAAAATGTCAAATGCGTTTTTTTAGTCACAAAAAGGGACAAACCGCATTGTACCTCTCACGGTTACGGAGACCCCAATGGTGAGTCACGAATTTGAACCACCCTGTACAGCTCAAATGATGCAGATTAGCCTTTCTCCGCTGTCAATCTTATGGTTACTGGTTGAATATTAGTTTCTTTGAACTTTGGAAAAAAATTTCAGTGAGGGTACGAGTTACGAACAGTGATCATTAATTAATGAAATTTGTAAAAATTGATCGTGATCAATTCCCGCCCAATTAATATTTTACCGCCTGAAAACTGTAGCCTGTAATAGAACCAATTTCTTCGTTCTGTTGACTATTCACTTCATAATCCGCTATTGTATTCCGAGCATTTCGCTTACATGGTGACGTTATTTCAGTTTATCAAAATACCTTTTGGATGCAACATAGTAAAGCGGGTATTAAATAAAAACTAACCACGAGGCGTGTGAACGTAATGAAATGAAAACTGAGGACCGCTCAGAATGGAAACATTCGTTTGTGCAGGAAAAAACTTCAAAGCTCGAGTTTTCCAAATAATTGAACTACAAAAGTTGGAATTGATTTCGTGCACGAATGGAAAATAAATAGTTTACCTCAAAAGCGTCATTTAAAGAGTGCATCCTCATCCTTTCCCGTTCGTTACTTTCCAGTCTTCTTAAGTTTCTCTCCCTCGCACTAATTCCCGTTTTTCTCCTTCTGGTCGTTGTACTCCCACTAGAACTACCACCACTCGTCGTACTTCCTGAGAACGCAACATGACTCTTTTAAAATTTTGAAGGCAAAGGATGAATGAAAGGTGTCAGTTAGAGGGGTTGCACGAACCTCCTGTCCTCCGCCTCGCGATTTTTCTGCCCGTTGCTTCGTCGCTGCTCGTTTCGGACATCTCATCGCGGCTGTTCTTGCTTAGCTCCATGTCGTCAACCTCGACATCTTCGTCCTCCTCCTGCCAAGGGGTTGTCACCTCAAGTGACCTCATCGTCTCTGTAACAAGAACGTAACTGCGTAAACATTTTTGGAGCGGAAAAGGGGTACAAGGCTACAAATTAGTTTTTAACGCGCCCACGATCTATCTTAGTTAAACTCACGCAGCGACGTCAAGTTGTTTACAGCGCAGCAAAATTTTCAAGATTCAACTCACCCGACATTTCTAATCCGCGATTTTGGACAAGGCAATGACCATGTTAGTAAAACTCCCGAGCCAATACTGAATGACGTCCGTAATTTTGCAGTACTTTACGTGTAATTATTATCAATTTACAATTTGATTACATATACATTTACAATAATGGTATCATTATATAATGCCAAATTTCGGAAGGCTAATAAATTATTTACTGCCGCACTTTATTTATTTGGACAAGTTTTTTTTTCTCACTGCAAACACACGTAAGTATTCACAAAGATTAAACCTTTTTTTCGCTTTTGCGTTATCAAATCGATGAGATTAGATAATACAGTTTTGTACGACTTTTGGTAAAAATAATGGCGTGAGATAAAAAAAACGAGATAATTTCGCTCGACAATAAATTAAAGGGCGTATGTTTCATGTATAATCCGAAACGCAGTACGCAGTTTACCCCCGAGCCGCGACACCACAGCTTTTCGTGTGGTGGTGAGTGGAAACACGGACGTAAAGGCGTCCCCTGAATGAACCTTACGTGACTGATAAACAATCCGTTTTTCATGTAATCTTAATATATGACTATTTGCTGTTTGAAGAATTTCAGAGAAATGTTTGCAACAGATAATCGCGTAAGAACAAACCGGGAGTAACGTGCAAACAATCAATGAATCTGGTTCAAAACAACGATAAATAGTTTGCGTATCGAATGTAGAGTGGAGGCATGGCGATGTGTTAGATAACACTAATCAAATTTCCACTTGGAATGGGGTTCCCCAAGAGTTTACTGTTGGACCATTCTTATTCGATACTTACCAGAGAGATGATTCCGGTTAGAGGAGGAACAATAGAGAAGTGGCGGAAATTGGCAAGTAAAGAAATATTTGGTAAAAAGAAAGATAAGTACCTATGTTAATACCTTGACCCAAGCCTACTACTGTTTTTTCCTACTCAGTTTGAATGAAGCGCACATTTACTGTAGTAGTCTTAAATCTAACTACATACAGAACACCCTCCCTATGTTTTTATAGTAGTTTCTTCAAATGCTCAGTCGCTTCACAGAAACAATTTCGTTACATACAATAAAAACTTGAAAAATATAAGCAATCGGAAGAATTTGAAGAAATGAAAGAATTCGAAAAGATCAAAGATACGAAAAAAGTCAAAGAACCTAAGGAACTGAAGGATTCGACGAATCCAAGAAGTGCAAAAATCTGTAAAATTTAAAGGAATCCGAAGATCTATCAAAGTTGAAAAATCCGAATAAGCTGAAGTAGGTACTTGCACAATCGTAAGAATTCGAAAAAAAACTTGCATTACAAAAACCACTTGAAAAATCCAAACAATAGCCAGAATTCGAAGAAGAATACGAAAAGATAACGGAACAAACTTAAAGAAACTCGAGAAAATGTACAATTCGACGAATCCAACAAATCGGGAAGTCACGGGAAGACGTTAAAAACTCCAAGAAACTGAAAGATAAAAAAAATTCGAATAATTGGCGGGAGTTTCACAGTCGGAAGAATTCTGGCAGTTTTGAATTGAACAGTTCCCGCTATAAAGGTATGCGTTTCATTAAAGGCGAAAGTTGGGCAAATGAAAAAAGGATGCGAGATTTTTTTTTCGAGGCGGGAGTTTTGATTTTTCGTTTTGAGTTGCGCAGTCGCTTCTCGGCTGGACTTGGGTTATTACAATTCAAACAAACAATTTCATTGCAAAGCATAATGAGCTTGAAAAATTCAAACAATCGAAAGAATTCGTATACTCTAAAATTAAACAAATAAAAGAACCGGAAAAGACGTGGAAAAAATTCCAAGAAATTCGAAGAAATGAATAATTCAACGAATCCAAGAAATTGAAAACCTGTAAAGTTTAAAGGAATGAAGATATCACAGAGAATAATGAACTTAAAAAATATAGACAATTGAAAGAATTAATAATAATAATTTTAAATTTGTCATGAAATGAATAAGTAGAGATCACAAACAACGTATTGTATCAACTAACAAAAACAAATAGTTACACCAATTACTAACAATTAAAGATGACTAAACCCATCGTAAATACATTCTATGGTGGAATAATATGCCTTATTGAGAAGAAGAATTTTAAAAATTTTTTTGAATTTGCATTTTTTCGAATGCGAAGAAATGAACGAATTCAATTCGAAAAAATCTTAAACTAAACAAACAGAAGAGAACAGATCAAAGATATAGAAAAAGTCAAAGAATCCAATGAAACTCAAGGAAGTGAAGAATTCGACAAATCCAAAAAATCAAAAGAATCTGGAAGAAAAATTTGAAAGGAACTGTAATTCTGACCATTTTGATACGATGACAGAACCATCAATAATTTCATTTTATATTTATTATTATATTGTTATACTACGTTTAGGCGATTTTGTCGTTAATATGCATACATTTTTTTAAGGCGTGCATCGAATTCAGAATATACGACAATTTTGTTCATCAAGGATATATACCCCTATCACATTTCATGAATTTAGAATTTCGAATTCTAAATACGTAATTTTGAAAAATTCTTATGCACCCAACTGCGTCTACATCGGAACTTTCGCAACCTCATCTAAGGTAGCATCCCCTATTTTTTAGCGCATTTTTTAAGAATAAAAAAAATGTGCTATTGTTTGCGTTTTGTCTGTCCGTCCGTCCGGCCCCACTTCTGCCGTTTTGAACTACTTCTAGGGGAATGGTCCTAGAGTCTTCTGTATTTTTTGCAATAGGTAGCCTTGAAAGTGTGCCAGAAGCCCATCAAATTTCGATGCCTTAGGGGGAGGGGGGTCCATAAATTATTTCCCGAGATGCTGTTTTTGAAAGTAAAATGTGCATAACTTTTGCATACGACAAGCAATTGGTCTAATGCCTTTGCCTACGCATGTGTTTAGTGGAGCTAAGTAAAAATTTTGAAAATTGGGGGGGGGGAGGGATTGTAACAAAAGATCTCACGAAATAAATGGGGGGGCGGAAGAAATTAATTTTATCTTTCATGGTATTCTAATTAAAGGTCTCAACGAAAGGAACCGCCTTTTTTCCTGGCCCCTTATCAAAAAAGAGGGTTGGGGCGGGGGGGGGGCAGTGAACTGGTTTAATCATTCCTCCTCCTCGACCGCTTATCGTGATCGGGTATATTGCCTTATATCTCCAGAACGAATTGTCGGAAGAGGGTACTCACAAAGCGAGATTGGAACGTGTACAAAAAAATATCCATTGGTGATGTCAAAATTTTAAGAGCGGATATCTCGAAAACGGTTTGTTGGAGGGAAGTACTCTCAAAGGCAAAATGAATCGACTGAACAATCGAACCAAACACCTTGACAACGAAGTGTCGGAAAAGGGTACTCATAAAAGGCAATCTATTGGTGATCAAACCTTTCAATGCAAAAATCTGCAGAATGGAGTGTCGGAGGATTTAGAATATATGCCAGGCTGCCTTTAAAACTTTGCGTGTAAAAACTACCTCTACCAAGAAACCCAACTATTTACTAAGCTATTTCGGTATAAAAAATGCGCTTTATCTGCACAAGGGTTGTGCACAATTTAACTTGTATAATATACGTACCTACTCGTGTTTTATAAACCTCTTGATAAATTTTGAAAAGGTAAAGCCGCAAGAATATGTATCTGTTATGGTCGCTGAAGAAATCCAAATTTGGTACTTGAAATGTCAAAACATTTAAGACCTAGATTTATTTCGAAAAAATGCTGGTTTTGGCACCCTCAATCACCATCACCCATAACATACTTAAGTGTTGCAACTTCGCAACTCGTATGTTAAGTAACTGTACGTTCCATTATTCTCTAAATTTGTCTTGGATTATGCTCTTAACTGTGTATTTGCGTCTGAAACCATGAAGACTTGATATTGACGTGTTTAGTTCTGATTGCAGGAAGAATTTGTTTATTTTGCATCCGTCATTATCAAGGTTGATACGCAGGGTGTTTTTTTTTTGTTAAATTTGTATGAATGTGGAGCAGAGTTATGTGCGTCAAGATTTTTGATTGGACGAAAAAAATAGTTTTCGTTGGTGGAATAAGTTGTCGCGGGACAATGTGCGTTATGCCACGAGAGCGTTTACGTCGAGCCGTCCGAAAAGCTATATCAACTACCGTAAGATAGTGCGGAGTGGTTTTAGAATTTGTGAAAGAATACCCATGTGTTCGAAATTTGGGCCGAGTCGCGTGCGGTCGAAAGTTTTTGGTTACTTTGCAAGGAGGAAATCGAAAACGATAATTTACAACTGTACTTCGCAACGAGTCAATCATTTTGTGAGCTCAATCAAAGGATAAACTGCGAGACAGAAAATTAGTTACGAATACGGATGGCGGAAGTTTTTCATGACGTAATTTATCGCCTGTCTGCAATAGTCGCATTTGTACGCATATAACCATTGTTAATAACAGAGGCGCTCACCCTCGGGTTACGTTGTCTTCTCCTTCATTCTTGTCTTCTTTTTCGTCTTCACGGTTATCATTGTTTTCGTTTTTATCTTAGTCTTCGTCTTCATCCATGTCTCTGTTTTCGTCTTTGTTCTGGACTTCGTTCCCGAATTCGTTCTCGTCTTGATGTTTGTCTACGTTTTCATCTTAGTTCTCGTCTTCGCTGTCGTCCTTATCATCTTCGTCTCTACTTGTGCTTCGTTCTCGATGTATTTAATAACAACTTCAGGATCTCGCTGTATTCTTCGTCTTGTTCTTCATCCTGGTTCTCCTCTTCTTTATCGCTTTCCTATTAGCTCGCATCTTTTCTTTCGTCTTCGCTCTCTTGCTTCCTTCCAGATTTCGCCTCAAATTACCTTCACGCTTCCGTTATCAACTTCCGATTTGGCTCTGGATCTCACTTTTGCTTCCGTTTCAGTTTGCACTTTGGTGTCCCTTAATGTTCTCTCTCGTAGTCTCACCGCTTTCTCTTACATTCCCACATTCGGCTTATCTTGTTTGAAGTGATTACTGCTTTTCGCTCGGTCTGCACTAGGTTTTGGACGGGAGTCTCATGCGTAACGCCACAGAATATAGAGCACGC